AAGCCCTGTATTTAAATGTTACATAAGTGAATTCTTACTGTGAATTTTGATTTTATTTTTGAAATGTCTTAATGATAGTTATTTGGTTTATACTCTAGTAAATCTAAATATTTGAATTTGGAAATAGAAACATGAATTATTAAATTATTAAAAAGTGCTTAGTTTACCGGGGTGTAGAGGTCTCTATAATATAGTCTATACGGCGTGCATACGATTCTGTATGATAAATTGATAACATATTGAATTCAAAAGAGCGGTGCGATTTAAATTATTGGGTTTAAAATAATGTGGTTTATTTGAAAAACCTTTTTTTAAGCATTTTATGTATTTTGAATATTTGATGTATTTCAAGGATTCAAATTAATTATAAATGGTCACTCCTGCAACTGGAAATTTAAGGAATTTCAGAGTATTTTTTTATAATGGAATAATAAATTATAAAAACAGCAAGAAACCTTATAGACCTAGTTTTATATAAGAAGAACCTTTTTTCAATCCAGTGATTTTTTTAATGTTTTCAAACAAAATAAAAAAATAATGATAAAATACTGGTACTTACTGTTTTTTTTCAATTTTTTTTTCTTGAAGAATTCGCCTATATAAATGCGGTTTACTTGACTTTTGATTTATTGCACACATATTATTCGCAGTGCCATCATTTTATTAGACAGTTCCCATTATAATTATATCAAACCAGCATCAGTGGCATTATTATAGTTATGGGAGTATTTCAAAACACAACGTTGTATGAAAAAACTTGCAGTTTGACTAAACAAATAAAATATGCAAAACAGAAATAAAATACATATTTTACCAAGAATATTTTAAACTTCTGATATTGATAAAGAAGAAGAACTATATTTTATGCGGTTATTAATATTGTACCTCCGTGCGTGGATGAAAAATAACTTATGGTTTAATAATGTATTAATATCTACTAGGTACTATTACCTAATTATTTAATATAATTAATTATCAATGTTAATAATGATTGGTGGTTGTAATAATAATAACTAATAAGTGTGCACAAAATATTATAAGAAGAATTTATTTTAGAAAAATATATATATATTGATATACATATATATACATTTATATCGATAGCATTAAATGTACATTTCATAAATTATAATTTTAAAAATATACGTAACCTAATCGTTAAGACTTAATGTTACAGAGTTATGTATAAGAACTAAATTAAAAATTATAAATGCTATTTATTAATTTTATAAATGCTTTTAATTAGGCTATTTGTGAAGAAAGAGCTTTTTATATACCTATAGTTTATATGGTATAGACTTTAAAATTTATAATAACTAATTATTTTTAATTTATTTTTATAAATATTTCCGAGAGAAGCTTATTACAGTTAGTGTTAAAGAATAAAGGCCAATATAGATATCGTCTTTTCAAAACAAATTATAATTGCTGGGAGAATGGTAAACCCACTATGCTAAGATTAATGCATAATATTATATTTGATTCCTACTTAAATATTTTGAGTCAGTTGAGGTAGAATACCGTACATATTCTAAGTGTGTGGGGAGTGGTGTGTATAGATCATGTATACAAATAGTTAAAATTAAATTATTGATTACATAATTACTAATTAGGTATAATTAGATTTTACTAAAAATAACTTATAAATATCAAATGTTAATAAGAATAAAATAGGTCAACCTTTGAACAAAACAATAAATTGTTTGCTAAATTATTTAGAATTGTATTATTCAGTAAACTGGAAAAACAATATTGTAACCCTTGCCAGGTTTTGCTCCCATGAAATACACCACTGATTAATATTGGCTTCTATACCGGAATTAAAAAATACGATGTAAAAATGATGCAAATCCTTGTTTAATTCGTTTAAAATATTTAAAAGTGTTATTTCTTTTTGAAGTGTTTGAAGAAACGTTTTACGACTTAAGAAAACATATTGATATTAAATGAATAAATACCTACATTTTGTATTAATCACCTCGATTAAAACTCTATTTCTTATTTTCTCAATGACACTACGCATTAATATCATTTTAACTACATGTTAAAGATATTATCAGTCTAGAATTTTGTGCATATACCTTTACAAATATTTTATTGTGTCCATTAATAATTATTATTTTTGTTGAATACCTACGCTGTACCATAACAGTGTAGACAAATTTAAACACACAAATACAATTATTTTTCTTATTATTTATTAAAAAATTAGATACTCTTGCCATGTAGATTAAATCAAATTTTTGATTGTGGTATTTCATATTTAGACTGAGTTGTTAAATATGTTAGTGTAAACATACAAAATTCTATTTTCATAATATTATTGTCAACGCAAACTTAACAAAAAAAAAGCTGCTGGTATGTAATAGCACACAGAGTAAGTTATTATTTAGTTGACACATTTTAGTTGCAGTATTTTTTTATGATAATCTTTTAAAAATATTTTTGATATAAAAAATCGGTGAATATTAGTTTATAATTATGATTACTACTTTTGATATTATTAATTTTTATTTGTACAGTAAAATTGTACGTGGTGGAGTTGTGGTAATCAAATCAGGGAAATTGGGAACAATTTAAAGATGTTTGTGATATTATTTATATTGTGTTTAAAAACTGACAAATCATTAAAATGATTTAATGTTTTGTATATTTAGTCAAGTTGGTCGTTTATATTTAAAGCGCGTGTCATATCCAAAATACTCATAATGTTGAGTCAGATGACGAGGAACCGCTTTGTGTCAGTGTAATAATTATAATCCAGATTTGTATGCATTTTCATTTTTTTTCGAGTCGGTTTCTAACGATTTGTTTAGCAGAGAACGCATTAAAAAAGTTTATGTTGCATATAAATACTACCATATTCAAGGGATAATGATTTAAAAGAATTTGAAACATATTTAGAAGTAAGGTAATTTATATTTGTATGCATACAAAACATATTATTTAAAAAATGCATAAAAATTGATTGTTTTCAAATTCGTTATTTATAAATCTATAAACTATATTTGTGGGATTCTTTTTGATAAGATATTTATTTTACAAATAAAGATTGACTCTAATCTATATAGGTAGATACTCGTAAAGTCGTAACTGTATTTTCATTTTATTGTGCTTTAATTGTCAATTTCATGTTTATGAATTATGAGCAAACAATTAAATTTATCCCTTAAAATGTTAGCCAAAAATAAATGAATGTTCAATTTTTAGATATTTATCAAAACAACAGTATTTATATCATTTTGTGGATAGTAGCATGTTTTTGCATATTTCTTAAACATTTTATGAGCATATTAGGTTGCATATTTCAAGGTTTGTTGATGCATAAATGCATACAAATTCGGACTACATAGTAATATTGTAATATTATTCTATGTATTAGGCCGCTATGTAGTTAGGTGCTACGCAGCCGTATACTTGGCGGATATACGATATTATTATTATTTATTATAATAAATATTGTTGTATCTGTAGTTCATAAATCATAATATTATTATAATTTAAACAGTCCTTGGCTGATATAGTTGGCTGACAAGCAGCTGTAAAATTTGGAGACGAATTACATTTTTCTGAGTAGGTATACCTAGACGTAGTTTGAGGGTGTGAGGGGGCTGAGGAGTATAGTAGTAACAACTTTCAACGGTTGATTTGAATTGAGCTCCTTTTAGGAATAACCTTTGAATAATAATAATTTAAACACACATATATATTTGTTTATTTTAGTATTGAATATATTTGTATATAGGTATTTATTAAGGGAAGGGATCGAAGCATAAGAGTATCGACATACGTCATATATACGGAGTATACATTTTTAGATATTTTCACAGGCATTGACTTGATATCTCATGAAGAATTTTAAAAATTATTTATTATTAATTTATTTTTGTCAGTTTTTTTTTGTTTAGCGTTTTTCATTTTAGGGGGGGGGGGATGATAGAGGGTGATTTTATACAATTAATTAGTAAAACTATTTTGTGACAGCGGCCACAGCCTACATGATGTGATCGCGCTTGTTACGTGCATAATATAGTACTGCGAACGAGCACCTACCTCAGTTACCTACACGTAATACCTAAAAAATATATACGAGTATCTATGTAAAACCTCTCGAAGTTTATTATTGACTTTATAATAATATAAGTATTACAATAAAGTAAGTAGGTGTACAGAGAAATAAGTCATATTTAAGCTTGTTTTGGGCATATTCTGACCAAGTGAGAGCCCTATATAGGTGGATTGCACCAAACGTTTAAATAGCATGATATGTGCGTATATCGACGTGCACACGTGCAAATTTATCGCGTACCTATCTATACCCACCATTGGTAGGCTACCAATAATAATAATAATAATAATACAATAATGTACAATGGGATTGTCGTACTCGTATATGCCTACACGTGCGCTGCGCACAACACAACATTTTATGTGTATACAATACGTTATACGTATTATACCTCTTGCAGATTTAATATAATATATATTGTGATACGGGAGGTAGGTAGGTATGTGATGATAATAGTGTGATCTGGTATGTGCGCGTTGGGAAAAAAATTGTTACTATATATATATACATACATGTGCCCATCGGGCCACCTGCGATGAGTGTGCTCCGCTGCAGTGTGTGCTGTCGGACAAACGCGTATCTAAGATATATAATATATATATATATATATATATATAATATTGTACCGCGTACACACACGCACACACACACACACACACACACACATATATCTTATATTATATTATATTATTCAGTGTGTGTGTGTGTGTGTCTGTGTGTCTGTGTGTCTGTGCGTGTGCGTGTACGCGTGTACAATATATGTATATACGACAATGAGGACGGGGCCGGGGCGGCAGCGCGTGCGTTAAGCGCCCAAGTCCGGTTGTGTAGTAGGGGTTGTTGTTGGTCGGGACGCCGTCCGCCGACCGCCGCGTGTATGTGCGTATGTAATAATGGGGATGGCCCGGGCCGGCATATAAGAGCGCGCCGTGCAAAGCGTGTGCGCACTAGATCGGCGGCAATTTGTCATACCGGCCGTGTTGAGTAGGTACGACCGCGTTAAAATTTCCGTACGCACTGCCACCAAATCAACTGCCGTCGTTAAGTCCGCCGTTTATCCGAGAAATAACATTTTAAAATTATTTCAACACGATGTCGTATCGAACCGCGTTGCCAGCGACCATATTCCGTTGACGTTATATACCGTGGTATACCCGTCCGACGCGACTCCGCACGCGTTTCCAGGCCGTTTCGAAGATTTTAACATTTTTTTTTTTCACGTTTCGTCTGTTTTTCGAAACAGTTTCCGTCCCGTAGACGCGTATACCGCAACCGCGTTTCCCCCGCACCCGGCGCAGATCCACCGCGCCATTGGCGGCTCCTGCCTCCCGCAGCACCAGAATACTGCGCCTTAGCCCTTAATACCGCATACCAGGTGAACCTGACACGCGGTCCGCAGCCGGGAAAAGATCTCGCCGTCCGCGAACAACACGGTAATTGTTGAGGTAACCAACGCAAGTGCACACCTTAATATTGTACACACCGATGACGATGGACAGCAGCACGTTGATTCTGATATGCATAGCCGTTGCGCTCATCGCCGTCGCGCTCATCGGCCCATTGATCCGCAGACGCGTGTTCGTCGCCTCGTTCCGCTCTATCGCCGGACCGCCGTCTCTGCCGATCTTCGGCAACGCACTTCAGCTAAACGGCTCCCCTTCCGGTAAGTTGGTTTCCGCACACCTATATATTATAAGCTTAATTACATTATAATACAAAGTTATGTAATACCGCATCGGCGATCCGTTTTGTTTTCATTTTTCGAAACCGGTACCGAACACCACGCGTATATCGATGCATCTTTGCCGAGCTGCATGCAAAATGTGTTAATTTAATTGGTTCACGAATCATGGGCGCCTCTAAATCATGTTTAAGGGACCCACGGCTCACCACTGTAATCAACCCGACATATTATAGATAGGTACTTTATTGTATTTTCGACAATGTTTACACTTTACAACGATAGTTTATAAAACATGTGGGCGCTTTATTCAGTCTTAATGCAGTTTTCATTATAGGTAAATTAAAGTATTATTTGCGTGCGCCTATACTCTGCAACTATTACATTGAAATATAATATAATTAAATCGCTTTTCCACTCGTCGAAAAACCAAGTCATTTTTCAGGAACCACTGTGCGCGTAAAGGTGCATGCGGCGGTTTATAATGGACTGATATTATTTCTTATTTATACATACCTTTATGGTACTGCAGTCGTTTTAGTAATAATAGCTGCTCAAACGAAGGTTTTTACGAACATTAAGAACAGATAAACATCAGTAGGTATTATTAACTCGAGACACTCGACTACTCCGCCGAATATCGTCCAATTATATATAGGTACAGGGTATAGATAAAAGATATACCTAAGTAATAAGTACACAGCGCGATTGACAGACCTAATAAAATGTTCTTATTAATGTGTACAGTAAGTTCTTACTTTTACCTGTTTCAAAAGGAAAAAAAAATATACGGTATTTTGAAAATATACCTTAGTATCATTTACTCCTTTATTTAGATTTTCACCTTTGAAATTCTTGATTCCCCCAAAAAGTTTACAATTTCCAAGAGATAATTATAAACTTGGAGATTATATGTAATTTGTATGTAAACCGTTAACAAAATACTGATAAGACAAGAATCGTTGATAATTATGAGAAAAATTAGAATTAAATTTGTACCAACAGCCGAGAGTAATAAATATTCAACAAAAATAAAAATCTGATTATTATCTACCGTGGTTTTAACCTAAGCGCCCTAAGTCATAGCCATCTATTTTGTTCATAATTTAATTATGTTACGTGTTCAATTTAATTATTTAGGACATTTTTCAATAATAAACTTTAGTTACCTACTACTTATAGTACCCAGTGTAAATAACAAATTGTATGTAATTTTAATTCCTTGAATCAATTTTTAACAGTTTTACAAGATTTATGTTAAAGTTGTAGAAAACATTATATGCATATGATGTGTTTGTGTTTTTTATATGCCTGTTTAATTTCCAATTTATTAAGTAGTCATAGTAATAATTATGATATAAAATCACTCATATTTATAACAACTATAATTCCTCATATATATAAAAAAATATTAAGTATTTTATTAAAAATATTAACTATCATAAGATAATAATTAAGATAATAATCAGCAATAAATTACACTAATTAAAAATAATGTAAAATAATATAAAATCTAATGCATTTTTTTAACGTTTTGTATCATAAGAGAAATTATTGAAAATAATATATTTTACTACCTACATAGTGTAATGTGTATGTTCTAATCGTTCAGATAAGTACTAAGTTTTAATTAGTGGGTCGGTATTTAAGTGCAAGTTTCAATTATCTGAACAGATAGAAAAAACAAAAGAGTATTTGGTAAACGAGAATCGGTTAGATGTATTACCTATGTAGTTCAACTGATTAAGTCAGTTATTGATAGCTGACAAGTAATACAGTCGAGATGTCTGTTATAGATTAACGACGTACGTAGGTATAGACTAAATACTTAATGAGATTAAACTATTTTAAATAAATACTTCGGTTTAATAATAACTCTGTTTCAAACTTAAAATTAACTAAAGATTAAAGCGAACTTCTACCAGTTACCTACTTGTCCTACTTATAAGTAATATAAAGGAAATATTACGATGTTTTAAGTATACTAGGCTAATTTAAATTGATTTTATAAAGTATACTTATATAATATATTAATATGCTAGACCAAAGATCTATGTTAGGTATAATTACTAATTAGGTTGTTACTTTTGTTAAAATATTTCGTTATTTGTATTTGACTTAGGTACCTGTATATAAAATATATTTATTAATTTGTCTTAGCTATATAAGATTATCTATCTAGTGTTAGTTCCTACATTTACATATATTTTAAGTTGCCTGTAATTGAAAATTATAGAATTTACTCAACTTTAATATAATTTAACTGTCGTATACACACTACCCACTCTACATCTATTAATTAATATCTTACTGAAGTGGTTAGGTTCGTAATGTAAATCATAAACAATTTTCTTTAAAGTGTAAAATTGTTTAAAAAATCGAAAAACGAAAACATTTTATGTTTGACGGAAGCATTATTTTAGTTGTAATATAATATTGTGTTCCTACAAATATAAGCAATTCATATATTTTAGTTGATACAAAATTCAAATATTACAAGGATTCTATTATTTCACGAAAAATAACTATAATATTATATGATATTAGTTAATGTGATAATAATTGTTTGCTGTCAAAGTTGCATTCCGTTTTGATACTTTTGAAACTATAACTTATTTATTGATTTATATCCATGACCCGAGTATGCAATGCACTTTTAATTTAAGGAAACGTATACCTACGTAGACAGTAGTCTATATTGATAGTATGCGTAAAAGAAAAATAATATCAAGATAAGGTTTTGATGCATATAACATTATAATTTATAATAGGTACTATAATGTACAATGTAGGTACTTATGTCATTTTAAAAAATATCTTTTTAGATAACATACTTTTTAAATTCCTTATTTAATTCTTTCGTAGTTTCGTCCAATAAATTTAGATCGCTGAAAATTTGTATGTTGATTCATATATTTTGTTTATTATTGAAAGTTATAGATATTTTTTGTATTTCAATGTTGACTATCCATACACTATACTAGTACATATACTATACTTTATTTAAAAGTATTTTTATGAAATAAATAAATAATCAAAATTACATTATTTTATTCATGATATTAATTTAAATATAATTGCTCGTTATTTAAAAACAATGCAAATTTACTTGCCTTTTTCTATCACTTCATAAGATACTCTTATCATTTGAATGACAGTGGAATTTATTTTTTGCTTAAGGTGATAAGTTTACGAACAGTACCTATAACTAATGTAATTAAATCGATTTTCTTTTTGTCAATAAAAAAAAATTGAAACCATAGATAAGTATTATACAGTAAAGTAAAAAACATATTTAGAAATTACAATATTACATATATTATACTACGTATATTAGTGTTATATAATGTAGTAAGTGATTTTTAGTTTGTCGCCACTTAACCGGAAAACTACCAAACAAATTTTTCTGAATTTTTATATAGTTATTCCTCATAATGTAATATGTATTTATAATATAATATAGTTTTTCAACTGTTATATAGGTAATCATAAAAGAAAATATATTTTTGTTTAATGTTTAACAAAATTTAATTGATAATTTAGTAATTAAAACTACCACAGTATCGAAATTCGTTAGTGCAGTTCATTTCTTCGTTTTATATCAGCAAATTTAAAATACCTAGTAAAAATTGAGATGGCAATATGGAATACTTTGAGTAGAATATTTTGATTATTCATTGAGAGAAAATAAAAGGGTATCTTCATAAAGCATCATATTAAATTACCAGTATAAACCACTTAAACATAATACATACCTACAGATCGGTTTCTTCTTATAAGTGTTCCAAGGTCGACTGTTGGCAGAGATAGGGGACAGGTGGCAAGGATCCATCCTCCCCATGAATTTATAATAATATCGTAACGTGGTGTATATGTACAATGAATATTTGAATTCAAAATTTAAAAAGCAATTTTATTATGTAAATATTTTCATGGGAATTAGAGTCTGTTTAATAATGATTATGTCTATAGATCAACGAACTTTAGTCCCCCTAAAACTGTTTTCTTGTGATCGCCCTTGAATATATTTTTATCTTTGGTTATTTTTTACATTTTAACATCGGAACTTAAAAAAGAGCAACATTACTAATTCCGTCTTGGCAGATACCAATTATATCATCTTTAACCTTCTCGTATGTAGGCACTTAACAACTCAAATGTATCTCGGAATAACTGCACATTGTTTTGTTCTTTTTAACGATTTAAATTAAATTTTCACTATTTAAAAATTAAATATTTACCTATTTTTTTTTTACTGTTGTCTTAGTTAAATTTGATAATGCAATGAAACATGAGTTGCTTAAGTAAAAAAAAAAAAATGAGCGTCAACTATTAACGCCATAAAATAATAATGTACTATTATTAATATATTGAGAATTTTTTTGTCAGGAATAACTAAGAAAACATTTATAAGATGCTTTACACCTTAAGTAACATTTAGCTAATGACATTCCCGATGTTCTTCCTGCAGGGTATAGATTTTATTAAAATTGTTTAATGGTCATTAAAATTCCATACATAGTTCAAGTGCACGTTAGGACTCAAAACTACGCAGAACTATACAAAATAGGTGTGCCTTTTAAGAAAATATGTTGATAACTTGTAAATTATGATTGTTAAAATAATTAACAAAGTAAGTTATTTAAAAATTAATATCATCAAAGAATACCCAAATACTTAATGGTATATTGCCATATTGGTATGTTCTAAATTAATTATATCCTTCAATATCGATATCTAATGTTTCATAAAAGAAAAAATACTACACATTATAGATTATAAAATGTTAACTCAATGGACTAAATTTGCAATACGATACTGGGTATAGCTGTAAAAAATCATACATTTTATTTTAAGACACAATACTAAATTTTAAACATAAAAATTCAAATATACGTCACTCAGTAAACAGTTGAAAATATAATAGGTACCTATAATAAATAATAATTCATAAATATAATATACACCTGTATTATACGTGTATTATAGTGACGTTTGAGAATATGAAATCAATATGTTGATTACAAATGTATTTGTTTATTTTAGTCTACAAACGTCATCATTTCGTCTTCGTATGAATAAAACATATTTTAATAAACACGGAAGATGATTATCGGAAAAATGTAGACGGTGAAAGTAGATAGGTATCTGTTGATTTTTTCAGGTGTACCTACCTTTAAGGCTATTATAATTTACTTTAAATAAATCGTATTTGTTAATTTATTCTTGCAAATTATAATTGAAATATAATAAACATATGTGTCTAGACCGTCTGACTCGGTGGCCTTATGAACACGTTAAAAAAAAAGAAATATGGTAAATACGGTAATATTTATTTGTATTGTACTTTTTTTTAATAGGTCAAATTTTGTGCTGAATATTGTTGCACTTAGAAAGTGAAATAAACAGTAATATGGGACTGCATTTTGCACACATTGCCAATGTTATGGTTGTGTTTATGCATGCCTTTCATAAATACACAATAAGATGGAAAAAGAAATGGGTTGTATATTTTATTGGGAACGGTAAATTTATGAGTTCAGCATTCACAAAAATATGTTTATAATGCTTATAATATCATAAAAATAATATTTTCAATTTAATAAACAAAGAGTTGTTTAATCGACAGATTTTTTTTATCGTTAAGCATTTTATACAATTTAAAAATAATTTACTATCTTTGATATAATCTTTTTTATATTTTGAAATTTAGGTAACTAATAATAAAATAAATAAATCAAAATAATGATTATGAAAATATTAAATAATTCCTGTAGCTATAGTGATACTCATATTACCATGATATATTCATAATTCATCAGATATAGGTTCTTTTGTAGAAAGTATCGAGGGTATTTGTCTTCCAGGACAGTGCGTTAGTATAACTCTCTATCGTTTTTTCAACCTGAAAAATAATTAATATAATATTTTCTACTGGGAAATATAAGCAAATTGTAAAATGAATAACAAACATAAAAGTTCAAAAATATCTCGAAAATAAAAATGAGTAAGCATTTAAATGTTTTTAACATTTTATTCAAGTACATTCCTAATTATTAGTGCTAGATATGTATAGCCACATAGAGCATATTTTGGCGTTTTAAGTGCACATTGGAGAGCTAAAAAAGTGATTTTTTTTAGTATTTCTTGTTTGATATAATTACCGAGTATCGATAGTGATATGAATTATAATTTAATTATTATAAGTCAGCAGTGACGAGCTATAATATTATAAAATGTGGGTAGATACTACCTTTGAATCGGAGTTCGGTCTCGCTGCAGCACCATCGACACCCGTGATTACACCTCCCGAGTACACGCGTTGGAGCCATCGGCAAACGTCGTCGGCCGACATTGACACTGCAGCCTCGTCGTCGGGTGGCCTGCGTCCGCGGTCTGCAAAGTCCGTGTCGTTGAACGTAATGCGGCAACAGCCCTATCATCTGGACGGGGACGGGTCTCCGCCAGCGCATCAGCACGCGTTCACCGCCACCGAATTCTTTCGATACGTCACCGGGTTTTCGTAGCAAGCCAACTATAGGTACCGATCGACGGTCCGGGTCGACTTCACCACGGTGTCTGCTGTTTCACCGCTGCTCGTGCCTCCACCGACGAACGACGGCAGAGCGCACCTTTGATCGCGTTGTTCCGGCTGTTTGGAACCCCTGTGAGGGGGTTAACCCGCTGGTCCGAGTCCGGAAGTGGTGTTTTCCTCGAGTCGGCCATTAACAGCGCCGCCGATCAGGGTCGCCGCCGAGAACCGGACGAGTCACGTGGACAGCGCTTGCCATCATCGCGATCGTCGTTCTCACCCTACGATTTATTATCAGTCGAAAAACGATATGTACCTACTGCCAATAAAATATTAATATTCGCAGATGATCTCCTGTAGCAAGTTATCACGAACACTTGATGACCGGAAGTCCGTCCTCACACTACTTCGGCGGAAGAAATAAACGATGTGGAGCGCGACGACCGTGATTTCTGCACCGGTGTCTTACTGTTTTTTTTTTCGACGAAACTTGTATCGCTGTGCTCTTGCTCGGTGGTTGTGCTCGCGAATTACGTAAACAAGACATTGCGCAATGAATTGTACATATTTTACACAATTCAACAATAATAATATTGATAATATAACAGTATAACATAGATCAGAGTGCTTGTACAAATGTACAATATACTCCAGTGTATATAGATGTTAATATATAGAAATAGAGATACCTTTGACGTAGGTATATATTCAACAAATTAATTTAGCCGAACTGCACTCTTTTTACCACCATCGTAATCTACCTCTTATATATTAGTGGTGGCCACGAAACAAGTTTGGGAATAGGAGGACTATTATTTGATGTTTCAGTTACGACGTAAAACAATTTAGACCAATATGATTTGAAATAACTTAGAATAGATAACATTAATTAAAACTTGAAATCATTACGAAAATGTATTTTCTTTTTTTTAACATACATTTTTTTTAGTACCTTTCTATCTTGCACGCCCCTGTACTTATGCCAATAATATACTCCAACAATTGCAAAAACATATGTATATTTGTCTTAAAAGCTTTAACAATAATTAATGCACTGTTACAAAACGCTCAGTTTTCTAGTCAATGGTTTACTTAATTACTATGTAAATACATTTCTAATAAATTGTATTATATTTTTTTATAGATTTCTTTAGACTTTTACTCGAATGGCATTCGAAATTTGGAGATACGTATCAACTATGGATTGGTCTACGACCATTCATAGCAATGGCTGATGCTGATCATATTCAGGTAATAAATAATTTTAATTTGAACATTTTGTATTAAATTAATTGATAGAAATCTTTGAAATCAATACTATAATTATTAGTCATTCATCATGTTTATAGAATAATATTTATCACTTTAATAATGTTATAAAAATAACGTGAATCGTGGTATTTCTACCTATATTTAATTATACCAAACTATGTAACTCTGTTATTTATTTTAATTTTTTAAATCATAATTTCAATTAATAAACTACGACAAAAGGTAAGAAAAAAAACAAAATCGTTTTTCGTACATCAGTTCCATAATATAGTTTTATCTTTTGTGTTGATTATGATACTGAATACTGTTGTCAGGAAATCGAATGAATATATATTATTTATTAAAATTGTATTACAGAACACATTTTTTGCATATTTAATGAGCTGACATTGCTTAAAAATTCAAATATAATTGACATTGTCTGCACATCAGTGATCGATTTGGAAAAATAAAAGGAGGACTCTTGGAAAATTAGAAAATCAGTCTTCTTTAAATTTATTGAACTCAGCCTAACTTTTTATTAGCAAAACTCCATACATACTCTGCCTAATCATTAATTCTCAAACAAATAATTACAATATTTAAGTTATTATTAGTTATTTAATTAATTACTACTATTATGAGTGATTAAAATAAATATTTTTGAACAATAGTCATATTCATAACAATTTAAATTAATTAAATGTATAATAATTAATAATTCATATTTTTGTGTTACAACTAAACTTTATCACATAATAGTTGCTTTACAAAATCAAAGTAACAATGAATTGATTAATTCATCAAATTTCAATTGAATATTTCATTTGAATATTCATTACGATTTTCCGAAATAAAATTGATTAGGTAATATACAATTTTAGGTATATTATACAATATTTTGTAATAATAACGTATCACTTATTTCAGTATTTGTTAGGGGGTGTTTAAAATATCTAAAAAAAGTAGAATAGCCCCGCCATCCAATGCCCACTCTAAATTCTAGCAGTTAATGAAGAGAATGAAAAAACTTAACATTAATAGCTACACAACATTGTATACATATAGCAAATATAATTATTAAATTATATTTGCTTATTCTAATTCTATTTATAGTAATTATATAAATTATAATTATAATCATATGAGTATTAAAAGGTGTGAGTTGAGTATTTTAATTGAATATTGATTTGCGTATAGGTATAATGGGTGCCAAACATAATATTGTTATTTAGGTTTGAATGGAAGAAAACCTGTCAGTGGATAATACTGGTACCTACCTACTGATGAGTGATGTTTCTAAAAAAAATTTATAGTTTGAGGTATTTCTACTAACATATGGTTTTACAAGATAACGATATTGTAGTATAGTATACGACGTTTCATGATTATCATAAAATAATTTTTAGCAGCAATAATGCATTATAATTTTTTATCACATTTTTCTACAAGAAAAATATTAAATTTCAAAATCATTATAAGATAAACATGTGTACAGTATTTGTACTTGTTTATGTGTATTACAATCCAAAATACACTAAACCTTTTTTTTAAATTTAAATTACATATTATATATCATGTAATTAAAATTATAGACATTTTTTTAAACATATTTACGAGAAGTGTAATCCCAATCAAAATTATGCGACGGTACCGGTCAATTTCATTTGAAAAATAACATATATTATTCTTTCAAACATGACATTCAGTCACACGCATAATATAAATTCTTCGTTTTTCAATAGAACTATATAGCTCATATTAACCTGATACCATCTTTATTTACAGATATAATTTATTTTTTGCTTCAGAGTAGTCGCAATCACTACAGTCATCACTCACCCCCTATATATTTATGCACAGTTCTCTCTTACAGTAATAATAACATCTATTAAACATTATTTAATCATTTCATTTTCGTGTTTAAATACTATACCAACAACTAGTTGTATCGTTATAGTATTTACAGGTATCTGTTGTCAACATATTTGGTACCTACCTAACGTTTCACTGTTTTTAGGTCATGTGCGATTGCACGTGTCTACCGGAAAAAAACTACATACTTATAGTAATTGCTGTGAATATAGCTTATGGTAAAATTTCGTCAACGACCTTCCTTGTTTTATATTAATTGAGCTTATCAATAGGTTTTACTTTTGTGTTTATGGCACTACTTTATATATGTATATTATATTTACTCGACATGTGGCGCGAAAATACTATAATCTTCTAGTATAAGTTATGTATAAAAAAAATGTTGTATTTATGTTTACCAATGATTATTTAAATTCATAAATTTCACAAGTACTTCTTCGTATGAATTCGACAATATTCTATTGGTAGTAATGTAGTACACCCAAAGTATTAATCAATTATTAAGATAAAATAAGACTTTAAAATATTTAGAAGAATGTATGTACCTACTATACTCGGTTTTCCAGTATTAAAATAAGAAAATATTATGTTTTGCCTTATTGGTGTGTATAATATACACATCTCTTTTTATCAGTTTTTAAATATTATAGGTATGTATAACTTATAAATATCACGAAAATGTCGTTAACAAATAAGAAATTTTATTTTTGGTGGTTAGGTATAATAATATATACAAGTATATATTTTCATTTAATTATCGGTATCTATTTAAAATATAATTTAATTTTAACTATCTGTAGGTACCGAGTAGAATTGTGCAAGTTAGATATTACATTCAGTACTAGTCAATTTAATTTGTTTTTACTTTTTAATAATTAGTACAAATGTATAATAAATTAATAAATTATTCAGTGCATCTTTTATGTATATTATCTTGTGTAAATTAATAGGAACAAACAATTTAGTCGCTCACTGATTGTAGATTACTGGTTACCTACTATGTAATAAACTAATAACAATAAGTCCTTGTACGTATATTATTGTAAAAAGAAAATGTGTCAAAAAATAGGCACTAGGCCTATACTTGGGTAAATTAACACACAATATTGACTTTAAGTTTTAAACATTGTAATTTTCAATCAAACCTTTTTGAATGTGTCACACTAGTTACGAATGATGTACATTTAAGTGTATATTATTCTTGCAAAAATATATAACATAGAGTTAAAAGTATTTTTTTACATTAGTTTATGTTTATAATAAATAATGTGTGTCAAGTTTTAATTTTAAACTTTTATTTCAGCAAATTTTGAACTCACCTATTCACATCGACAAAAATCTTGAATATAATTTACTACTTCCGTTTATCGGTACAGGATTGGTGACCAGTTCAGGTAAATTGTTTTAAAAAAAATTAATATACACTCAAAAAGTAGTTGTAATATGGTTGATTATTCATAAAGGATAGAAAAATCTGTAAAAAAAATTAACCATAAATTTAGTATTTCAATTTTTATATACACTTACAATAATTGTTGTCAATATAAAACATATTTTGAAAAAATAATAATAATCTAATAACCTTATATAATTTGTTCATATATTGTATACAATTATTAATAATATTAAGAAGCATAAATTTCATTTCATATAAAATACACACAAATTAATTAACATTCAAATAAAATACGTAGTTTTATAGCTCATATGATACACATATCAAACCTTGTTACCATGACCTAAACCACGAACCACGATGACAATTTATAATGGATATTAGTATCATAAATAATAATTAAAATGTTCATTAGTGTTGTTAAATTTATCTTTGTTTATATTTTTCGTAAAACTATCCATCCATGACCTATAGCCCATATTGGCCTTTTTTATTTATACAATATAACGAGATTAAATTTTATATCAATAATAATTACAACACCGTACTATCGTTCTCCCTAAGAGAGTACTACTACTATATAAACGTATCAAATACGTATAAATAGCAATAATGCAATATACTTACATAATATACAATATAATTATTATAACGTATGCTTTATTATGTAAGATACTAGTACCTTTAATGCAAAAATGGTTTCATTTGTTTGAATTTAAAAATATCATTATGTCAGGGTACTTAGGATACGAGGTCTATTTCAACTGCTTAAATTTTTATACGATATACTTTTTCAAGAAATTTACTTTTAAATTAAAATGATACGGGCTTACAATGATTCTCTTGTTTCTGTATAGTATTTTTTAATTAAATAATGAACAGTTTAATAACCTCACTTACCAGTGGTTTTCAATTAGTCATTAGTATCGCAAAATTAGATTTTTGGGCTGTTTGGTGAAGAGCAAATCGCTAAAACCTAATAACTAATAAGTCATAAGTCATGACAAATTAACAAATGTACAATTTCTCGTAAGTACGACTTATATCTTTAACACCTTAGAAAATAATGTAGGTACTTATGTTTATCATGTCCCGATTAAGAACTTTTAAAGCAAAGATAGTTTTTATTCATTTATTTAAGTTATAAGCGGGCAAGGCCTAATTATGTAAATTAGATAATAATAATAAAAGTTCGTGGGTCATAATATTTGTTTATTTATATTATGCAAGATTAATAATTAACTAGTATAGCATATTATATGCACAATCTCATCACTCATTAGTTATCTTGAAAATAAAGTTTATAAGTAAGATATTTTTCATAAACTTACTGGAAAAATAAAACTAAAAACTATTGCATGGCGTTATTTTAACTTATCTACGGTCAATGTCGGATTACTTGGCCGTGCTTTAATAAATGATTAGATTTTTTTAAATATTCTTAAAATGATGGTTATATCAATAACTGAAGCGCTAATATCCTCATACAGCAATAAAAGAACCGAGTACAACAGAAGACGTAAAGTGCATGTAACGTGTCCTTGACCCATAGCAAGTATATGGCTCCGTTGACACAGGTTAGCGGTGTCTGCAGTTTGCTAATCAAGGTCAAACACTAACACAACAATAAACGTACACAACAGTATTGTAATACAAAGTATACCGAGCTTCCATGTCTCAGAATATAGACTTTTTTGACCAAGATGAGCACATCGCGGACTTATAGTTCAAAATGTCAAGTGGTATCCATTAAGAACTAGTACACGCCAGTTAGTAGCGCTAATTAAGAGTAATGATAAAACAAAATGAAAGCTATAAATGAATTATTTATGTCTATTTACATTAAAAGTTGTTTAAAAATATTACTCTGAAATTTATCAACACTTCCAAGAGTTTATAGTTTTGAGATAATATGATCTTTCTACTATCAGTACCTATGGATTTTATAAAAATATTTTATTTATTTTTATATTTTTGAAATGTAAGAAATTTTAGTAACTAGACTCTCAGAACCCGAATCTTTTTCTTGTCACTTAAAAAAATAATGTCTCCCTGCACCTTAGTGCTGTACAACTCAATTTCATATAACTTAAATTCATTTTTATCTCCCTTGAAATTCGAGATAACAAGTCTTGGTAGTAGCCGATTTATTATTCTAAAGTTGAAATAAGATGCTTAAAAAATATGGAAACTATGGATATAGGGCACGTTTTTAGGACCAAGTTAAAAACCAATAAAAAATATCATAATTTTATTGTTTTATATATTAATTATATTGCCCAAAATGTGTGTGTTAACATGTTATAAAATGCAAACAATTAATTTAAATCGCTAATTCATAAAAAATAAAAAATATTATATCAACGTTATAATTTTTGTCAAGTATTCAAAAATGGTTTTATCTCTTGGGAACCACGCGATTTCACTAATACAAAATCGACACATTCATATACTTGCATGCTGTGTATAAACTACGAGTGAGGAAAAAAGTGCTTGTAGAATATTATTATTACCCACATTAAACAATGAGAAAAATAGAAGATTTAAGATGATATTTCACATTTTAACGTACATAATGTGGAAATATTGAATACTTACAAGAAAACAGTTTACCTGTTGATAATATTCAACTTAATTGCCTACATAGGAACGAACAATAAAAAAATAAAAATAAAAAATTTAATATTTCTGTTTTTATAAATAAGCCAGACACCATGTATATTTATTTTATTTATTTTATTCTACTTATTTTATTTATTCGTGTGCATCAAATATGTTAAATATGCTGTTTTGTAAAATAATAATAATAATATAATCATTGTATATTGTTAAACTTAGGATCGAAATGGCATACAAGAAGGAAGTTATTGACACCAACATTTCATTTTAATATTCTCGAGGAATTCTTACCGTTGATAGAAAAACAGGGTAAAACATTAGTAAAGATGTTAAGAAAAGAGATAAATAATGATACTGGATTCGATATTAAGCCCTACGCAAAATTGGCTGCTCTAGATATCATTGGTAACACAGCCATGGGCTGTGAGATCAACTCACAGGAGAATTCGCAACTGGACTATGTTAAAGCATTGGATGAGTGAGTACAATTTTAAGTACTTACCAAGATTAATATAAAATGTATTGGACTTAAAACTATATAATTATATAAAACTATCTGAGCATTGAGCTGTGATAAGCTCAAGAAATAAAACAATAAAATAATTTAAACAGCAACTGTAAGTTTCCAACCTTAAAACTGCATTTACGTATTAAATATTTATAAATTTTATCTATAATTTATCAAAACTATAAAAGATACTAATAACGAGTTATCATCAAAAGAACCATTTACAGATGTAAAATCAAAGTTTCAATTTTTAATTTCAGGCTTACTGCAATCATGCAGAAACGGTTTATAACACCGTGGTTGAAACCAAATTTACTATTCAACTTAACATCTCTTAGTAAAAGACAAAAGGCATGCATAGACGTTATACATACATTTACAAGAAAGGTAATAAAATTGAAATTAATTTCTATCCTCAAAATTATAATTATAAATTAGTATTTAAAAACTAGGTAAGTTTTTGTATTATATAACATTAGATATTGTAAATTTTTTACAGGTTATAAAAGAGAGGAAAGAAACTATTAAACTATTCAACAATCAGATGTCAGATGCAAATAAAAATGAAATACACCATGGTAAAAATTCCATTGTGATACGTGTTGATAGTGTTGTAATAATTGTATTTCATCCGTAGGCAAAAAACCTAACAGAGCATTATTGGATTTATTGCTAGAAGTATCCGAAGATGGGAAAGTGTTAAGTGATGATGATATTCAAGAGGAAGTCGACACTTTCATGTTTGCGGTAAGCATAGCATTTTAAACGAAAATATGCAAAAATGAAAAAAACTGAACTTTGATTATGGCCTATTATTGTTTTAATGATATTAAACTGTATGGAGTAAAATCTAATATGTAGAAATACATTTATTTTTAATAATATAAAGTGTGTTGTTTTTTTACCAGGGAACTGATACAAGTTCTGTTACTTTTTGTTGGATTATGTATGTCTTGGGTAAACATCCACATGTACAAGATAGAATAGTGGAGGAATTAAACGAAAAAATTCCAAATTTCGGCAATCAAAAGTTAACAGTACAAACCTTAAGCGGTCTTGACTATTTGGAAAGAACAATCAAAGAAGTTTTACGACTTTACCCATCCGTCCCATTTATTGGTAGACAAATTTACGAACCACTCAAAATCGGTAATAAAATAATATATACATATAATCATGTTTGTACTTTAAATGTTCAAATTGTATTTAGTTACACTAATACTTAGAAAATCAGTATTTATTTATTTATAATCAAAAAATCGTTTCCAACTTCGAAATTAGTTGTCATATAATATACCAATGTACTTATAATTTTTCAAAATGAGTAAAAAAATATTCTTGGGCCCTTCATTAAATATAGGTAGTCGATATAAAATATTTATTGATATATTCATTAATATCGTATGTACCGTCTGGTACTACACTTTCACAACTACATTTTAAAATATAATAACTGAAATAATTTTCTAATGAACAAAATATGTGTTGACATGGTTTTAGTCAAGTCACCAGTCAGTCCATTTATTTATTAACAAAAAAAAATAATTCCTTTCAAACTTGATTTTTAAAAGCGATTGTAATTGTTATCATGAGTTGAATATTATTATACATATTGTACAAACTAGCTACAGACAATCGCCATTCAAAAACAGTGTGTCAGTGTCATGTCTGGACTGCGTAGAAAGCCCATTTTTTCCTTATAAATATTTAGCTGTTTACATGATATTAATATTTTCATTGTAAATAAAATATGTTCGCAGGTGATCTCACTATTTTGCCGGGGACGTCAATTTTCATAAATGTGTTTGCTTTACATAGAAATGAAAAACATTTTGAGAATCCGGAAACGTTTGATCCCGATAGGTTTTTAAAGGACTTTAAAAGCGATCTTCATCCTTATGCCTTCATACCATTTAGTGCAGGACCAAGGAACTGCATTGGTAAGTAGTGATACATTAAAACCTTAGCTATATATTTTTATTTTTATGATACAAATCAAACAAACACAGGGCTTTAATAAATTCGTCTAGAAATCCAGTATAAAATCTAGTATAAAATAAAAAAAAAAAATATTAGTACTCTTGTTCGTGTTTATTTTTTTGTGATTTAATCAGACACAATTCTTGTAGAAATCATTCTACAATTTACGTATAGAGCACATTTTTAAAGTACTTACTATATTATTTTTAATATCAATGTGTTGTAAACCCTGAAAAAAATATTATTATTAGTGTTCAAATTGTTATACTTATATTATTAATAGTTGTATTTGTTATTATAATAACCCAACGATCAATGTAATCTGACGTATACGTATTATATGTATAATTTTTCAAAACATATTTTTCATTTCAAGAAATTCAGAACTTTTAAAATACAGTGGTCGACGCTTATTGGACTCGCGGTTATTGACTCATTCGCCTATTATACTCAAAACGGCTGGTCCCGATTTGCACATATACAAACACACACCAAAAAATTCGTCTATTCGACTCACACGCCGGTTAATAGGGTCATTCGAAAATTAGATAAATAAATAAAACATGTACATGCACTGAACAAACGTGTTATAAATGTGAAATAAGTCGGTATCGGTATTTTGTACGTAGAGGGATTCAGCAAATAGGCGACTTTGACGTATTCGAGCAACATAAATCCTACGAAAATATGATTATGAAGTTGGTCGAAGAAGGGAAAATCCAATCAACCCTAGATGGGTTTTTATCGAAAAATTAATAAGATTTTACATACATTATTATATTACATATTATTTTATTTTTAATTGCGTATAGCTGGATTTTTTTTTTGTACATACATACCTCGAATCTCAATAAATATTTTTTAATTAAATAGGTTTTTAAATTTAAAGATTTTTAAAAAATGTTTTTCGGTCATTCGCCTTACTAACTCATGCGGTTAATGGACTCAAATGAAGTCAAAAAGTGAGTCCAATAAGCGGCGACCACTGTAATTATAAGCAGTCCCATTTATGTACTTTTAATTCGCTAATTCACTTTTACATTTTTGTTCTTTGAGTTATTTTTTTTTACTAAGTAGTATAATATATATTCTTATAATGAACAAAAACAAATCAAAATTACATGATGATAAACGATTTGAAGTAAATCGAATCAAGTAAAAAAGATTTACTTGCCAATGATAAAATAAACATTTTATACAGCGATATATCATTATTCATTAGACATATAAGTATAGATATAAAATACAATATAATGTCATCGCTGTGATCGTAAAAAAAATAAATTATAATATGTGTCATATGTGTATACGTATCCAGTCATTGCTGAAAAAATAGGTAGGCCACTGGGTCTGTATATTATATTTTTTTTTATGTGCTGATCATTGTATGAGTTGTAAAAAGATTTTTTTTTTATTAAATGCACAGAAATAAGATTTGCTGACTACGTGCATTGTTTTAGTTAATCGCAAGATACTGCCACTCATGAAAATTGATAATATGACACAATACGATTCAAACATTTTAACCTATCGTAAATTTGAAAAAGTTGTCGTTCGTTATTCACATATTATAGACAATTATAATCTTTTTTTAATAATGTTATACCGAAAACTAGTATCACTATTTTATGTTATCATTTACAAAACCGTTTGTTTACTTGTTAGGACTAACAATATTAGAATTTAATCGATTGGTCGTTTTAAAAAATCAGACTACTACTACTATATTATATAAGTTACCTAGTAGTTACATCTCTGCACTGAAATCTATGACATTCATTCATAAATGTGTAGGTATTCAATTTGCTTTATTTTATTTTTTATTACCTGTGACTATGTTCCACATACCGAAGTACAAATTAGTTGTTGCCATACTTTTTTTTTTTAAATATTGATTCCTTTGAATAAATACACTTGTTTTTTTTTTTGATTTAATATATTTACCTATTTTTAATTATTTCATAATCGATAAAATATTTATAACACTTAATAACAATCTGAATAAAAACAATAATACAACTAATTTGTATGGTATCAATTTGATGTTTTCTTTTGGTATGCCAAAAATATTCAAATTAATTTTTATATCCTGAGTAGATTCTAGTTTTTTCGTCAAGTATTTAAATAGTATAAAAAAATATTTTTCCTAAGCATACAAGTCGACACAGTCCAACCAAATACATCCGATTACACGAAACAAAATAATTAATAATCTAACATGTATCTATATCGTATTTCAATGACTTGTTTTAGGACAAAAATTCGCAATGAATGTGCTGAAAATAGTGGTCGCCACAGTGATAAAATCGTACAGAGTTAAGTCAATAGACCCAGAAGACAAGTTAGGGCTTGTTGGAGAAATCGTATTGAACGCAATGAACGGAATCAACGTAACACTTGAAGAACGGACGTAGACCTATCCAAGTGCTTACTAACTTTAATACATACATTCATAATGTATTGACTACTTCCACTGCATAATATAAATTGTATTAAGTATTACGTTTTTAATTATATTGGTATTATTATTTAAGTTTATATGCATTGGACATTTTTTTTTTCATTATCATTATTAATTATATAAGTTAATACAACTATTTACTTAATTTTTTTCCATACCTATTACTATATTATTATTAGATTTACATTTTGAAAAAGTATTGATTTTATTATATTGCAAGTATAACAATAATAATATGAATTTTTTTTTATAAATAAACTGTGTTAAATTATTTATCATATTACAAGGGTGGATTAATTCATCTTTACACAAAGCATACCTACCGAATTTTATTAAAACAAATAGGTACTTCTATAAATCACACAAGAGTGCTGCAGTATGTATACTCACATTATTGTTATGTATTAGTTAGTAAATTTATATTATTCTCAAGAATTAATAACAGGTTACTGTTTAGCGGTTTTTATGCATGATTACAATAAACATATCAATAAAGATAATATTAACATTAAAGAATTAATTATTGTAAATTGCAATTGTGTGTCATGCATTTTTTTAAATATGAGGAAGGGGTACCTAAATTATGATTATTCGCGCACTTGTTGAACTTAAATGATTTATTTATTCATAATAATTATTGATGAGTCTTTCTGGTAAAAATAAAATGAGTAATCAATTTTAATATTGTCTACAATTTAAAAAAAATTACATTAATGTTTGTTCAAACCTATACCCATAGGTAATGTATATTATGTACAATGTACATGGGTACACATCAATATTCTACGAGTATGTTTATCTACATATTTTGGTATTAAACTATATACATTTAAATAGTCCAGATCACAATTATTAACTTTATCGTATAAAATACTTTTATCGAATTGTTCGTTGTAATGTATTGACTGAAATAAATATTGAATAATAATTTTTTAAATACACACATCTAATAGATAAGAGAAATTTAGATTTTATGTTTAATTCAATGCAACTAAAAGTCGTAAGTGTTTAGTATTTTACTACACCTGTTAGTAGGCTTGTTTTATAGTGATTAAGGGATTTGTGATACTAAAATTTAAATGTATATATAGGTACTACCTACTAGGAAAAATACTATTTCTTATAAGTAATATATAAACAACAAACCTGTGAATTTAATTTTGAATTCGAATTGAAGTGATGAATGTGTTGGTTCTACAATGGCGTCTGTGTGTGTGTCTGATACTCGGACTTTACCTTGAGTAGAAGTAAAAATTCTTTAAACTTTAATTTTGAGGATTGTATCTGACAAAAAAAAAAAAAAAAATGAAAAAAAATACATGTAAAACTAATATGGTAATTTAACTACGACAAACCAGATTGTGACAAAATCGATTTTGTCGGAACTCGCAATTAAAAAATATACAACCGTGGAGAATCGATGTTGACATTATCACCAAATAATTATTATAGCATTTTTGATATAATTTTCAAATTATTTTGGCTCTTTTTATGTTATTTATATAGACATTTGAAATGCATTTTCTACTTTTTAAGTTTTTTTTTCACTTGATAAATCAAGTTGATTTTTTCCTAGTCGAAAAAATATTAGCAAACGACATACTATATTGTATTGCCCCATTGCTGACTATAATGTTCATATAGTTATGATAATACCATCATGATAATATTATCTGTCACAATTACAACCATTGGGTTTTATATATTTTTTTATAATCTTGTTGAATCAGCTCACACGAAAAATTAAATCTAACGACGTAAACATATTAACAAAAAGATATTTAAAAGGGATTTCAGACTATGGACACTTTTTATGCGATTTCTTGAGAACATTATTTTTGGGACAACCCAATAGGAGTTTAGTACTATTTTTAACAGCTCGTTGTAATAAAAGCATTTTACCTTCTTTTTATTACATTTTTATGTAACTGATATATTTTTATTAACTAATATTTTAAAAAAACCACTAAAATAACTACTTATAATTTAATTTATAGATAACATAGATTATTATCAAGTGTTTTTATCATCATGTTTTACGAAAATATAAAGTATTATTCTCTAATGTTTATGCGCAGATTAATAGAATTGATACAAGTCATGCACCTAATATTTAGAAAATTAACCCTTTTTCAAATTAAATTAAAGAAATATATTAATTTATATATTCCGTATTCCAATAAGTACCAGTGGTTATACAAACTTAATAAAATCAATGATAATAATTGAATTATGTATTTCAATTTATAATGAAATAAATACAGTTTTGTGTTTATGAATGTGAAAAAAAAATTAAATTTTTAAGCTTTCTTCGTGCGTCGGTTTATGGTTAATAATTTAGTACCAATAATATATGGTATAATATTTTAATATTGTAATAATTAATAATACATCATATGAGATGTTTTTGGCAAAAATTAGTTGAACCCCCGTAGTAACTAACAGAAAAATAAATCATTAATTTATAGCAATATAAATTAACCATAAAAATATGTCGTCCTTAGAAATAGAGGCTGCCCACAGTGTCCGTATAGAATCGTTTTTTGTTTGCAATGATTTATCATCGAATTCAAATTTAACATTGTTGTAGACTACAACGACCTACGCACAATATGTTATAATGACGATTGACGAAGTACACATTCGAGATCTATTATACAGCATATGCAACCCCCAACAGCCCGGCGATTACCCCGGGTTTAATCCTGGATTCGACTGCGCTTTTTTGGTTTAATTACTTTTAAACTTTTTATTTTGAATAAAATATTTCGAAATCAACGCATTTTTAACATCATAAATCGAAAATATTGTTACCTACTATATAAAGGATGTAATACATCTACAAATAATGTATTGTTGTTGAAATGTGTTTAAAACCAGGTTATTCTTGTATCGATAATATTTTCCTCGTACCACTCAAAGCCTAAGCTCTAAAACATAAAATTCTCGATGCAGGTATTGTATGTTATACCTGTATATATTATTATCCTTCTAATTTGTATTGTACTCGTAAGTCTGATAATAGTAGGCATTATAATGCATGTGAATATGAGACGAAATCCGATAAATACCTATTTTGAAAATGTATATATAATTAAACAAACACGATTCTGCTATTATTCAGACATGTATTGATAAAATGTTTTTAAAGTTATTTATCTTTTCGACGCACGCTCCTTCCAAGAACGTGTTTATTTATAATTATGTGTCAGAAAGGGTCTTTTAAAAGAAGTTTGTTCAGATGGTAGTTTTTTTTGTAACATACCTATCCATCTATTTTTTTCTAAGGATCGTATTGATAAATATTAAAAACGGCCTCTGATTATGCTAATCATAACGATTCACGAGCAATGGGTATATTGTGATCATCGTTAAACTCGTTTATATATTTTTACCTTATAATTGAAACATCTAACTGAGTAATTCTAAGTAAAAATTAAATCTGTTTTTGTTAATATTAAGTAAATAGGTAGGTATATTGACTGAACAAGGGGTATTCATTAAAGAAAATATATCAAACACGGAAGAATAGGTACTATAAGTACCTATCAAAGGATAAAACAGATACAGTAGAAATGTATTATATAAGAACACACCTTTTGCATATATCTTTATATTTTGCTTTATTACTTAATATCACTTATCGGTCATGACTGTTTAATATAAGAATGTACTTTTGTGAAAAAATCGAAATACCTACCATAAATCTGATAAAACTTAAAATGCCTACTTTTATGTTATTGCTTATCATTGCAATTAATAGCTTGATGACTTAAGAGTTTTAATAAATATCTGAAAAATATGTATATAATATTTTTGCATGAAAATTATCTATGTAAATTGGCAAATTGCTGACATTCAACATAACTACGTTTACGCATAAATGCAAGTTACAGTAAACCACAATGATCGGGCGCTAAGATAAAATATTTAAGTATTTAAATAATTCTATCATTTTGTAAATACAAACAACGGGAAATTTAATCTTCAACGGCGATGCTTGTCTCGAGTGGACATGTTCGATACACCTAATGCATGTGCCGAGGTAAAAAAATATGAGACCAATGTAACTCGTATACCACTCATATAATCTACTACATTGTCGATGTATTTTAGTGTAAAATTGCAGACGGAAAATACGTGATGAAATGTGCATTTCGTTGCAAGATATATCAATATCCATATTATTGTAATATTTATAAATTCATTAGGTATAAAAACAATAGTTAATTTATTATCTTTAGTTGGGTTCATGAAGTTTATGAAATGCAATTATTTCAATAGATACCCAGATACTATTTATCAATGCACGGTGCCTATATCTAACCTCCGTGTAACGTCGCATTAGGAGATAATTCGGTGTGTGTAAATTAAATCAATTTATTATAAACAATTATTCTTGAATTTCAAAATCAAAATAACTTGCGATTTTTCGTGATTTTGATGAGTTTTTTGTCAGACGCTCGCTAAAATTATTGTTGATTTAAGCTCGAAATGTTTTTAATTTCTACCAAAATAACACTCATGAGGAACCTTATATTACATTTTCAATTTTTTTGACCAAGTAAACATTTTTTATCAACGATACATTTTTAAAAAGATATCAAAATATTTTGAAAATGTTTTGGTATCTAGGAAAGTAGAAAATGCCAGTGTTACACTCAAAATCTCGTGTATCTACAATAATTTTCCTTATAGTTACACCGAAAAACAAAATTGATCTTTGCGAAAACTAGTTTTGTGTATAAATCTCAGTTATTCCTTGTTATATTAAATACTAAAACAGGGGAAAAAAATTAATTTTGAATTGAAAAACTTAAGCTCCTTGGCTAATCCAGCTGATCTTGCTTGTGTTTGGGCGGCTAGACTCACAGATACGTTTATGTGACTATACGCCGCTGGATAATTTAATCGAAATCAAAAATAAATTTAATGTTTCTAATTCGTTGTATATTTATCACACGTAACGATACGCATTAAAGAACATACCTACCTAATTCTTCTGTACTAATATACCTGGACACATAGTAGGTACCTATGTATATATAAGAATTATAGTAGGTAAATATTAATAATTGAAATATTGAATAAACAAATAAATACTTTTGCAAAGTCAAGTATTTTGTTATTTTGACAATAAATATATTTATTTTTTTATCGTATGGATATAAGCTATTACAATTGAGTTAATATGTAGGTAGTTGGTATTAAATTTATAACGCTCTGTGACTTCAGAATTTGAGCTTAGATACTTATAATTTAGTTGGATTTGATAATGCGGATAACATAAACGATTGATAGTCCATCGTAAAGTGGAACATTTTTTTTTTTTGAACTACACAGAATATGATATTGTACACGCGGTTTGAAACGGAATACATAAAATAAAATCAACAAAGATTTGGAACACCTACATGTACATTTTAAAACGGAGATGTTTAAACATTCATTGTTGTTAAAATATATTCAGTATTAAAATTACTCGGTATTTAGTAACAACTATATGTATAATTTGTATGGTTTGTATAAAAGTAGTAACCTGACTTAGTTCAGTATACATACTTATGCTTACATGTATAATATAAGTAGTAAAAATTACATATTATACTTTTTGTGTTTAAACCAAGTGTCGCAACTCACAATTCGATTTTTATCATATAATTATTCTATTTTTCCATAATTTGAACTTCGTAAGACAGCAATAAAATGATGAGAAATTTAGTAAAACATGCATCATAAACCTGACGAAGCATCGAAATACTCAAATCACATTTAAATGTTATGATGAAATAATATTATTTTTCATTTAATTTCCATCAAACCTAAACGTTTTGTTAATATCCCAATTTAAAACGTTTCAATATAAAAAGATCATTACGAAAAAAAAAGTTTTATTTATAGCGTTTTTCATCCGACTTTACTGTCGGCGCTTGTGCAGTTGTAAATAACGAAAACTTCATATTATTATAACGCCGCGTAAGTTCTATACACAAAAGTGCAAAACAATGAAGGATTGTTGAGGCTTAATGCGGTATCACTAATAATAATAATGTTGTATTAATAAGTGATAACATTTTCCACTTCATATCATTATCATAAACGATACACCATTATTGTTAGGTACGCCCGTTTGATGTGATGTCCGTGTCTGCGTGTTGAACATAATACTGAGTGCATATTAATTAAACAGATGACGAACGCTATTAAATAGTAAACAAAATAGTTTGAAAATGTTATAATTGTATGATATCATAAACGCAGAGACCAATAATGGCATACATATCACAATAATTAAAAATGTTGTCGTAATTCTTTAATTAGTATGTGGTCAACTAGTGTAATCCTCCACTAGGTTGTGAATAAAGATCATTTTCATGATGTTAATAATAATCGACAGCCCAATTATTTAAGTATACTAAAATTATCACAGATTCAAAGAACAAAAAATTACCTACCAATTAGATTAAAAACGATTATGTTAGTAAATAATAAATATCATGTTTAAGTGTCTTCTGTAAAATTATGTTTTTGCGGATTATGTCACTTATGACAGGTTAGCCTTTAACCATCGATATTATATGCAGTACAAATATTAAAACAGATTGGTAATATGGGGGCCTTTGGACCAGATATACGTGTTTATAAAATACTTCGTAATAACAATAATATTAAAAGTCTTGTCTTGACATCTAAACATCCCAGTGCAGTACCTTACCTAAGGTACCATACGGGTACCACTACATATTACACAGTGAAACTTGAAAGTCTCAATAAACAACAAAAATATTATCTAGAGAAATTCGTCAAATTCAATGAGTACATTTTGGTCCTAATTTGGTTATGGTCTCAAGAATATTTCGTAAAACAGAAAATGAAAGTTTCACTGTATTACTTACCTATTTATAACAATAATATAATTTTAATATAAACTATATTATTTTACTGAATCTTAGTCTCACTGGTATACGAAAGTAAATGTAGCATATAAATAGGTACCATTAGTAGTTAGTACCACCTACCAATATATATTTACTTATTATCAACATATTATTTACCTATGTTATTTATTTGTTTTTGCTGAGGTGTAATTTTTCCGAACAGTGTTCTTCCATCATCGATTTGCGTTTTACAATTGTGGTGAACCAACCATGGAAACAAACCTTTGAAACATTAAATAATATCACCAACAGATTAAGCATATGAATAATATATTATGTTTACTTATTATGATATCTTTTAAAACCAATATTTTCACATTGGCTCTTCAGAGTGCTTTATGCTGGTGGTCAACAGTTTGTCGAAGGTTGGAAATTCTAAACGTATAGTCCAGAAAGTAATAGGTGTATTTTGTATATTTACTGAATTGTAGCCTGTTGGTGTCTACCCATAGGCAACTTTATCATTGCACAATGGTATTTCTAAATGAATAATATTATGAAGAAAAATATATAATTTATGAACAAAATTAATTTAATAGATAATGTTGGTAAAAGCCATATGCGAAATCTGTTTCTTTGTATATTTGACATAACTTAGTGCATTGTACGTCGACCAATGTAATTTTAAAATATATATACTGAACGAATTACTAACTGCAGTTTCAATGTTGCCAATAGCGTTTGAATAAGTATAATTCGGCATTTAAAAATGACTTTATTTGTACTCCGTCGTCAAACATTAAAATGATTAATTCGATGGGTTCTTATTTATCAATCTATTCGCTAGGTAATTGATATTATATCTTATAGTTTTCAACCAATTATTCAAAAATATACACATCATTAAGTAAGTACACTACAGTAACGTGGAGGTACTCTGATCCTCTGTCGTCCTCAGACGACTAGACATATAACATAAAATACTTGTGTGTATAAGAGTAAGTAAATACAATAATTATACGACTGTGTGTTTCGAATAAAGTATAGTAAACAGTTAAAAACAAACTGATCCTAAAGTAAATAGAAACCATATTAGTAGTTGTTTGTGCGATAAGCACTGCACCGAAGTTCATATGTCAAGTTACCAGAATTCAATATATCTTAATGGTAACCGGTTGTGCAGTATTGCCCAGCACTTTGAACTCTCTAGACGTGTGCTATACAGTTACTAAATATTGTCAGTACATTTTACACGATGATGCTGCGTGGGATTTGTAATAACAAGTGGTCGGTCAAATCGATTTCGACAAAAGTAAGTATTCGGATTGGTAGGTAGGTACCTAATATTATGTTATTTTTTTATAGTCATACAATGTTATTACTGGGTCGGTGCCTACATAAAAACGTATGGCGTGCATACAACATTCAACAATATATAATATCATGCTTAAAATCGGTTTAATGTTTAAAATATTTAGCCAGAGGGCAGCGTGTTGTAAATTGTAATTTATGTAAGTATAAGAGAAAAAAAAATCGGAGTAATTTAACTTTTAAGTAATATAGGTATATAACGTGTGTATGTTTAACGGCAAAATTTTTTTCGAACAATAGTGATAAGTAATAACCAATGCCTAACTGTTTTTTTATGTACTACACGTGGCTTCTGCAGGCGATAAATAATTTGGTACGTGTAATATGCAGTCTACCATACCTAACTGTTTTTAGCAAGTGGCATTATTGTACTCGTACACTTACTCTGTATAGATAATACCTATGTTTGTATGACAAAAACATATAGGTACCTTCCTACTTCCCTAAGTGTTGTCATAAGATCATGAATAATCCGTATTTTTTAGAGTTTTAGATAAGAGTATTTCTTATCAGTTACAAAAAAACACTACTTGATGAAAAATTGACTTTTAAGTTCAAACACTCAGACAAACTTGAGTCCCGAGTTTGTTATCAGCTTTGTCTCAGCCTGCGTATACAGCTTATTCACATAGATATCATTGCATTAGCATAATAGATTTCTATTTTGGGAGAATAGGACGACATCAAAGATGTATACATAACACAATAATTATGTACTGTTTTATGTTTAGATGATTAAAGTATATAATGAATTATCTGTTGCGTAATAAATAATAATAGAGAGTATAATATAACGTATACGATCTTAATGGTCGACAACATTTTATTGCATATTTATTATTATTTTTTATATATATACCTTCCGTCCCTATCTACCTACTTGGCTGACTGGTTTTTCACATTTATTTAAAAAATTATATAATCAGTAATGCAGTATCTTATATTATAATTTATAATTTATGAAAAGTTAAACAATTTAAGACAAAAAACATATTATTACCAGATCATAAAAAGTATTATGCCTATGGTAGAAATAAACCTCTTCGTTTTTAAACTTGGGTGATTGGTTAATGCTTTAGCATAATTAGAAACACATTTTATTTCATTATATTGTAAATGTGATTTAAATTATGTTTACTATGGAGACTCATTGGACAATATTGACCAATAATCGATGTACTAATATAATATAAATATATTTTTTATATTTTTTAGTTAGAACAAGGTACTTCTCAGAGTCATCTGACACTATTTAAATTTGAGTAAAATGCAAGTACCTAATTTTAAATATATTATTAAAAAACTAATAAAAAATGTAAAAAATAAATCAAAACTAATGGTTTATATAAAAAGTCAAAATTGTTCGGCGAGAAAGGTTTAATTTGTTCTCTAAACAACATTAAACGTAAAAATATTGAAATTTGTGTAGCAATTATTGTAGATTGTACATGGAGACTGGTTAGACAATACAGTTTTTTCTCAAAATAAATGTTCCTTGTGTGAATAGATTTCAGTTTAAATTATAATAGACTTAATACATTACTAATTTATTCAAAATCTAATAAACGAATAACATATTTTTTAGAAATCATTGGTTAATGAAGTTTTGACGGACACATTTGGGAGAAAACATAATTATCTTCGAGTGTCGCTGACTGAACGTTGTAATCTTAGATGTAAGTAAACATAAACAACCATATATTTAGTAATTAAATACGTGATTACTGTACAAACCATTAATTTTGTATTCTAAAAATAAATATGAATAATATTATGTAGGACAAGTAGGTACAAAAATATAAATACTTTTAATAATTTTATTCAAATGGTTGTATAACTTTTAAATTGCAATGCAACTAAAACAAAATGTGTCCAGGTGAATATTGTATGCCACTTAAAGGTGCAAAGCTGTCAGAACAGTCGAAGTTGCTTTCAAATGACGAAATAGTCCGTTTAGTATCATTATTTGCCAACCAAGGGGTTGATAAAATTCGAATTACAGGTGGAGAACCTACAGTGAAAAAGGATATCATTCATATAGTTGGTAAGCTTATAACGTTGATAAAACTCAATTTTATATTTGAGCTCTTTAAATAGAAGTTTTGAAAATAAAAATATTTCTCTTTCCAACTCTAAAAACTAAGATTAATTAGTTGAACTAATATATATGAGGCCACTGGTAAATTTATTTAAAATGTTAATTGAAACTTATCAAAACTGTATTTTATTATTTTGTTAAGACTCCGTATATAAAAAACATAATATATACCACTTGGCACTTAAAAACGATTACTGTTAAAAACAGGACATTTTACTATATCTTAATAAACTTAATGGTTTAGAAAATATAACTTTTCAAATAAACATAAATGTCAGGTTCTGGGTTGGCCACAATTAACAAACCTTAGACCTAACTATGTGTAGGCACCGTTTTTGTCTAAACTTTAAAGTGATGACTTTTCGTGGATTTTTTAAAACTTCTATTATCAGACATTGTAAACTTAACGTACCTGCGATAATTAAAATCGGTATTCTCAATTAGAATCACTCAGAAGTATCAAAAAACTCAAAACGATTGCGATGACCACGAATGGTTTGACTCTAACCAAACATTTGGTGGACCTCCAACGAGCTGGGTTGAACGCACTAAACGTTAGTTTAGATTCTTTGCAACAAAATACGTATGGAAACATCACTAGAAGAGACGGTCGATTGTTGAAAAGAGTTTTGGCAGGCATCGATTTGGCATTGCAATTGGGATTCAGTCCAGTAAAGGTACCTAAGCTATATTGTATATTATGCATAAAATTGAGTCTTGTTTAACCCCTAACGGCCTGATATTTTTTGATCACCCGAGGCGCACCAAATCGGTACCTACACAGAAACTGTGTTTTAATGTTCCTAAGTATAAAGATATTGTGGTTCTGATTTTCTAGCTCGTATTAAACTAGATTATACAAAAAGTACCTATTATTATATAATGTATACAACTAAAACTATAATTCGGCAGTAAGTATACTATTTTTTCAAAAACTAAATTCGCACAGCACTCTTTTTGCACATCGTCACTTCGGGAAAACTAGAGGGGTGACAATACGAATATCATATTTAACACTTAGTTATAAATTTAGAAAATTTGAATGCATTTCTGGTTATAATATATATACCTAATACAAATAGTTCAAACTACCTAAACATTTTCATTTTCGTACTGCTGACAAAAATAAATGCACAAAAAATGTGTTTTTCTAATTCACTTTTCACACTGAACCATTCTTCAGGAGGTTCGACCATATATGCAGACTCTCGACATCAAATAATGGCTTTTTATACTACTTTTTACCGGAGAACTATAATATATAATCTATATGTCCATAGATCATAGTATCATACTATATATTTAAAATATAACTTTGAATGTGTATTTTATAAGTATTTACTAATCTTGTGTACTGATAAAAGGGAATGTTTGTGTGTGTGTGTGTGTGTGTGTGTGTATTGAAGCCAATTTTTTAATTTTTTTTACTTTAATTGAAAACGATTTAATTTTGACATAATAATTTCTGTATCTTTGTTTTCGTCACAAAATATTTTTCTTTTTTTTTTATTTATTTTACAAATTCTGAAAAACTTGGCGTTATTTGTATTTTTTTTTCCTATTTGTTGTGATTCAAAAATAATTTGAAGCCAGCTATTTCGTAAATGTTGCAGTTCATTCTTTAAATATCATACGATATTTTTTTGCATTCTTAATTTAATGAAAATATTTTTTTCCATAATAGTACTACTTTGTTGATCATACGTTAATATTTCATAAAGTGCGTTTATAAATTTCCAAAAAATCGTATTTGATTTCACATGTAACGTCTTATTAGGCCGGTTTCCCAATTAACTGGGCCCCTCTGGTATATACTGTAGCCCTGCCTCTATGCGCCTTTACGCTGCCTTTAAATTTTTACATTTGCCTAATAGCGCATTCAACTTGGTGAAACAATAATTGAACCGTTATTTGCAGAGGTCGTCGACACAGATTTTAGGTACATGACCTTCGAATTTCAATAAGTTATTGATTCCATGTTTATTTTGCTCATGTCTCGTGCCGTCTACAGCGTCTACCACACTGTCCAATACGCCGCTAATTTGATGTCAAATAATATTGTGCCGAGTCTTAAAAGTCTTTAGCCAGCCGTCAAGTGCCTTGAATTCCATTTTAAATAGTTAAGTTGTTCAGTTATTTTATATAATTTTGTAGGTAAATCCGTGACTTTGCATTTACAATATTTTCACATCTCAATTTATTATACAGTTTTTTCATATAGACGTTATCGGATTTCGGTTTTATTTCATACTTTTATCTTCTGAAAAAATTAAAAATTTCCATATTCTTCTTGCGTAGGACCAGATAAACATAATGTGTTGGGTACCGTCCACTAATTTTTCCTTTTTTTTCATTTAAACGTAAGCATTTTTTTTTATTCTAGACGTCATATTATTATGTATTGTAAATTATATTAGATTTAACGCTGCATACACAAAGCATGCCCAACAATATGACACCAAGATGACAAAACGTATTGTAATTTGTAGTATGAAATGATGTATTTTAATACGGGTACTTTATAAACTCGTCCAAGTTATATTATTAATATAATGCTTAAATAAAATATTTTAATTTCCATGTAGAACAGGTTCCATTTCATTCAGGGAATGTTTCGTTAAAAAAAATACTATAGATTTGTTAATATATATGATTTCAGTGTTACTGTAGTTACTGAACTATTGTGTACCTAACTATTGTAACCTAACCTAACCTGAACTGGTTTTACTGTATGATTATTGAATGAATAATGATTATTATAATTATTCCGGTAATAATGTCAAGGGTGTTAAGAAGATGTATGAGAGACGATAAATGTATAAAGCATCGTAAATGATTAATATTTACATTAATATTTTTTTATTAAATTTTTATTTTAGATACTAGGACGTTTTAGAAATAGAAAGGATGTCAATTCTCTAACTAAGAATACATATTTTATCATTTATTTTTATATTAGTAATACGATGTATGTTGAACTAATTTTAACCAAAACCACGGCATATATTATTTTATTTTTCTATATAATTTATAATATTAATTGGAGACATAATATTTAAGAGGGGACGGGAAAGAATAATCTAAAGCTTAAAATTAAAAAAGGAAATGTTTATTTTTATTTCAATTTTAATAGTCGATATCTTTTCTGATTTAAATTAAAAATAATATATGTATTGATTTTATAATTTTATGGTTTTTAATTAAATTTTGGTTATCGTTTTCTATTTCAAATATCAATTTCATATTTTTACGATTTAATTTTGATTTCTAAATACGAGAAACCTGTCCTCAGGGTCGTTTGTGCGTTTGCGTAATAGGCCTAATAAAAGGAAATATTAGTTATTTAATTTTACATACATATGAACAACATAATAAACCTAACAGTTATTAATGAATTTTAAACTAAAATTGTTTTATTTTATTTAAATTTGAATTGCATACGTTTATAAAAAAGAACTGATGCATATCATAAATGTGTACGTTTTTAAATTGATAAAAGTTAAACTTATAGGAGATTTTATATTAATTTTTCAAGGTTTTTGAAATAGCATTTTACATTGTATTATAAACAATTTAAAAGAAATTTAAACAGTTCTAAATTTCAAAAGCCAATTAATAGCTTAAAATTAGTCTAAATATTTTGAAAATGTTATTGTGTATAGAAAATGGCTAAATTATAATTTAAGCAATAATGGAATGTTGAAATGTTACAAGTTTCTAAGATTTATATTTTTTAATATAAATAACTTTTATTAAATGATATTATTTTGTATTCATTAGAATAGGTATCCAATTTCTTAAACATTCAAACGATATTAAAAAATGTATGTATCTTAACGCTTAGCTATTTCTTTTAATTCTAATGAGAAAACTTAAGTGGATTCAATTTTCAATCAATTATTAATAAATTTCGACGATTGATTTTTTTTTTGCTGTAGGTGAACTGTGTATTGATGAAAGGAGTAAATTTCGACGAATTAGGTGATTTTGTTGAAATGACCAGAGACAGAAAAATCAATTATCGGTTTATCGAATTCATGCCATTTTCGATGAATGATTGGGAAGAAAACCGAATGGTACCTTATAAAGAAGCAATCCGAGAGATCATGAAGTCACATCCAAATTTTGAACCGTGTGATAACGAACCGAATTCAACTTCAAAAGTAAACTTTTATTTAGTATAAATAATTAATAGAAACATAAAACCAAATCCAAGAACGTAATACATTAATAAATAATACATTGGGTAGTTAGGTGCTTAATATATTTTATCGTCCGCCGACCGCCACACACCCGTAAATTGTTCGCAAAAACTGTTCTACGAGAAAAATAATGACTCAAGCACAGTCAAATAGTTAAGAAACAACCGACACAGGGAACAGTATTTTTTGATGAGTAGTACCATTTCTTAAATTATTGACTTCATAGTTGGTATGGAAATAGTTATTATTTTTTTATAAGTAGTAATTTTTTATGTTTTTCTTAATCTTAAAAAACTTTTTAATTCTGAGTATTGAGTAAAGCGTAAGTAACATAATATAATGTAAGTTTTACATAGATGTGTATTTGTATATATACCTAGTTATTTTTTTTTTAACAAAGACTTTGAAACGAACTTTAAAAGTACTTCCATATTCAACATTGAGCATGGTTCCTGACATAGTAAATAGCGTCTATTTGATTTTTGGGGGGTAAAAATTAGAAAATCCACAGTTATATGGAAAATAATTGGGGGAAATAAAAGGGAAGAAGTAGGTAACAGCTCCAGGTTTTTAGGGGATTTAGGGGTTCATTTACCCATTACTGAAAATAAAATTATGTAATTATTATTATTAACTGTTGATAGCGATTAGAAATTTGTAAACTGCCCCCCCCCTCCCCCCAAGTTAAGTCCTATACATAGACACCATTGAACTGCTTTGCTGTCCAGCAGGCATTGTACCGTGTACCATATACGTAGTCATTGAGAAGTCACTTAATAATGTGTATGCTAAATTTGATTTTAATGATAAATAATTGCATATGAAAAACGATTCTGAGCAAAGACAATCAGATGGTCTGTCAGCCTATATTACGAGTATTACCCACTGTCCAAGTATATTTTATATTGATAGTAAAATAATTCATTTTTCTATTAGTAATATTAACGTTTTACTATTATTAAATTAGATTGAATTAATTTTTTCCGAAGTCATTGGATTTGAAAATGTCATTGTGAGTACAAAATATAATAATTTATAGTTTCAATCTCACGTATATTTTTGAATTACAATAAAATAAATAATTACATCCAAATTTAAACTATTAATGTATTAAAAATTGTTTATTTTTTTTTTTTGTTCTAGTATATAATTACTGGTGCTATGAAATATCTCAAAAATCTTATCAATTTATAAGCACATTTTTTTATAGACATAGTTAAAGACATAGACAAAGTTAATTTTGACGAACTGGATATTGAAACAAAGAATAACGATTTTAGTTATTTTGTTGTCTTTCTACAATTATTCCGAACTTGAAAATGTTACGTATAAATTATTATATTTTATAATACACATTTATATTGATTTTAATCGATTTAACCCCGAACTTTTATTCACATCATTCTACTGTACCTACGCGTCGTATCTACCATAAATTTAATAATGTAATATAATATACATATTATGTACAATTATAATTATTATTATTAGTTATTACTAATAATAGTAAAATAAAATACTATAATAGTATTTTAGCAAATTTTAAACAAATGTTTAGTGAATTATACTTAATGATGAGGCTGACAGACAGTCTCTGGCTCAGAATTGTTTTTTGTACACAATGATTTATCTTTGAATTTAAATTTAACACATTCGTTACAGTGACCTACTCAATAACGAGGCCACTAGACTGGAAATCACAAGGGTTACCTGAAGGTACTTACCCACATATTTTTATTATTAATTTAAATTCGTTTGAGTAGTGTATTTGGTGTCTTATAGCAATGAGTGTAGTCTTTATGGATCCTTTTTCGTGCTAAACCGTTAAAAAATCAATTAATTTTATAATATAATCTCGTTAACCTAATTAACTAGGAGCTACGATACTGACATAGTGACAAGGGACTAAATGTAATAGTTACTTTGAATTAATATTTAAATGTATAAAATATTTAAAATATTAGTTTTTATCAATATTTCATTAAAATTGCCTACATTAAATGCCTTAAAAATTAGTATGGGGGGTGGGGGCGTCATGATTTAAACATTCTATTAGGTACCTATACTGTAATATTATAGTATTATGTGATATGCCATATGCATAATTTAGACAGCCTATATAAAATAACTTTTTGTAAATAATTACGCTATGTGTCATAGATGTATCGAGTGCCAGGATTTGCAGGCAGCATTGGTTTCATATCGTCCATGACCGATGATTATTGCGATAGTTGTAACCGACTCAGATTAATGGCTGACGGAAATCTAAAGGCATGCTTGTTTCAAAACAACGAAATCAGTTTGAGGTGACTTTTGAACACAAATCGTTTTTAAAAACGAGTTTGATTATACTGTTTATTTATAATATATTTTTATTCAAATGTGTTCCACTTAATTCTGTTAAAACTATTTTTATTTTTCTAAGTATAAAGTTCAGATTAAGGTTTTAATTGTAACTATACTCCCCAATTTGTATGTTTTGAACTATACTTTTATACCTGAAATAGTAAATAGATAGATACTTAACCATATTTTCAAATAAATTAGACTTCTAATGGAATTTAAAAATTGACACTATTGCGCAGATATAAACTTTTTTAATGAGAATCATTTATTTCACATCGATTGTTAAGCAAATGAATTATTTTGTTTTATTAATATTTATGTTTTAAATTTGAATGAGAAGTTTCAAATTATTTTACTTTGTTATACTAACTGCTAAGAATCGTAATTATCTGAGTATCTGAGTATAATATCATAAAAATGTTTGGTTTAGATTGTTTGGAATTTATTTATTGGGTAGGGTAATAATAAAATGTTTAAAAAATTAAATTAGCCTTTTAACTTTCAAATATTATTTAGATATTGGCGATTAACATTTATATTTTATGTCTTAAGTAACAATACAACCATACCTAGATTTCAAAGTTTAAATCCATACATATTTATAATAATATAACACTCAACATACTATTATAGTAGGTATGTTATAATTATGTTCATAATCAGTACAGATAAATTATAGAATAACAATAACTCACTATTCAGCAAATACTCGTTGGGAATTCGTGTTTAATACATCAACAATCTGCAGTAAAACAATAATTATTTATGAATGGAAAAAAGTTTCTTACTTGGAAATAAAAAACGTGTGTACGTTACACGACAGTGTTTAAATACCACAACAATATGGAAGTAGGTACCAACCTATTTGAAAATAGTACTCTTATTTGTTAAAATAAATTAATATTTCTTAAATTATTCTTCTTATCTATAGGTATTTTAATTTATAGTACATCCGTATATTTTTAAATTTCCAAAAATCATATGAACGAATCCATCATAATTTATGCATAAATGCATATATGTAATCTACTACCTACCTACTTAAAAATACCTTTAAAATTCACCTGTATACCTAAACCTAATACTGTATGTTCTCAACGTTTCGTGTCATCCTGACTATCTCCGTAACTGATCAATATAATTAAATGCGGGCTTTTCAACTGTAGTAATTTATAAGAAAATATGTATAATGTGTGCCGTTAAGACTTCGGTTGAAATCCTCATAAATTCTCGTCGAAAAATCTACATTTAAACATATTGATGTGTCACAGTTTCGCAGAAATATATAATATAGTAACACTGGACTTTTGGTGCATAATAAACTGTACATGTTTATTTTATGTACGGTAAATATTATTACAACTCTGATAAGGAAAACATAACACTATTTGAATTACTTGAATATTGTATTGGTCTAGGGATCCACTTCGGGAAGGAGCTTCAGATGAAGAACTATTGGACATCATATCAAATGCAGTCAAAGACAAAAAGCGGAAACATGCTGGTAATTTTATAGTTTTAAATTAAATTAAATAATTAACAGTATGGATAGGAAGTTTGAGCAGTAAGAGAATCTCCGGATTCGTTAACGAGCGGGGAGCCGATTTTAAAATTGATTTAATCGCACTTGGCCAAAGTATAAGTATCTATAACATATTTGATGATGCATGCATAAAATTATTATTGAAATGAAATTGTCACTAAATACCTAGTAAATATTTAATTAATTTATCATAGTACAGTCGAAAATGTTTTGATTTAAAATTTAAATAATTTTGGAACATTCTTATGTTCACTGTGTTAATCTATGCACACAATTTATTGTGATATAGTGGTTGACGAAATTATCGTTGATTTATAGGCATCTGAAAAATATGTACAGATACACAGCATACATATAGGTTTATCTACTTATGTAGTTATATAATTATAACTCTATGTCACATGCCCTAATCTTAACTCATAATTCATAAGTAGATGTATAGAAAATTGGAATTAGAATGATTTTAATTTGTCCTGTGTTTTCCGTAGTACCTATACCATTGCTGTTTATTTATATCATACTAATATACCTAATTCAAAGATTTGATATATTAATGAATCCAGGAAACAATTTTCCAAGCAAAGGCCGACAATATATATTGCTTTAAGTAACTTAAATTCTAAATAGATAAAAAAAAAATGAAAGTAAATGTTCTTTAAATAACTAGGAAAAAATTGATCAAAATTAATTGATATTAGTTGAAATTAACAAACTTTTGAAGATTTTAATTGAAATAGTAAATAATAAGCTATTTTTAAATGAGTCCTTGCCTATGAGTTTTTTTTGTTAGTCTTAAAATAATATATACTTCCCTGTGAGTTAGTTGGCATACATAGTTATACCTAACACAAATATACTTTCGCTAATTATTTGAAATTTTGTATAGATATAAACAAAGCAGAAGTTAACATCGTTACTTATTTAAGTAGGCACTTCCGTACCGACTTGTATTATTCAAGTTCTAAATACTTAAACATAAAATAAAAAAATTTAATTCCATTTATTTTTTCTCTAATATATCAAAATGTATCCATCACATATTAACAAAAACATGTTAGTTAATAACATAAAAAATACTTGGGACCTAAGTGCCTACATATTTATAGTGTCTTAAAATATGTCTTATTACTTAAATAATGATGTTTTGGGTTTCTTCTGTAGTTATTGAAACTTTTAAAATTTGTTTTGCATTAAATAATTAATTACCTAGGTAAGATATTTCGTGAAATTGAATGACAATATGCATTTTAAATATCGGTCATGCCTTTTTTACTTTTTATTGAGTAATTATAATCACATAATTGATTTGCCAAATGAACAAGCCCGCGGCCAGAAGATAGTGCCTATGACAAAAATTCTGATATTAAACGAGTGACATAAAAAAAGTAAAAAGGTAACTATTGCTATCAAGTAAATAATATCTATTTGTGTAGGAATAATACAAATTATTATAATATTTATTGGCAATCGTATACAGGCGTAGGTAATTTTAACGATATAGGTATATCATCATATCGATAACGATAAATATTGATACCTATTCTTACAAATAACGATACATAATAGGTAGATACCAATAACCAATATTTATTTTAGTTTCATACACCAACATATTCAAATCCAAATTACATCTATACAATTTATCGCACTCATTAAAATATTTATATTATGCAGTACCTACATGTTAACACCAGAAGTTAGGTAGAAAATAGATCAGTAATTTTCGGGTCACTGTAAATTGCATCTTATTTTTCATTCTTCATATGAATAATTTATATTATTTGCAAAATCAATATTTTCCTTTCCATTGTTCAGACTTAGGACTAGCAACAAAATTGTATTAATATTGGTATGGTGCGAAATATGGATTTTGCTGTGCATGTCGTTTATGCTTAAAAAGTGTGGTATCGAAAATTTGTAGTTAAGTAACTGGTAAAAAATTGTATGATAATTTCCGCACAAAGTCTGAGAAAATATTTTTTTTGTTTGCAATTCTGTAATTCTTCTTCTCCCATCATTTTCCCTGACTTCTCAAACTAATATTCTCATAACACTTTGCATGTTTTGTAAATTGTTCCGAGGCGCAATTTATACATACGCTTCGAAAATATCTGAAACGCAATTAATGTGGTAGGTAGGTACTTACATGAATATGTTTTATTGTTTTTTTTTGTGAGAACGCAATTTACCAACTCTGTAATTTTCAGTGGTGATGAATTGTAAACCATATTATATTATTATCCATAACTGCATGATAATTAATCACGTTCAATTGTGTAGAGACAAATTATTTTTAGTCGATCATTTTTTTAAAATACTATATGTACACAGTATGACTTAAATTGTATACAACTAGCATACATATCAGTTTCGTACTTACTGAAATAATGGGTAATAATAATTTTTAATTTGTGTCGAAAACAAACTAAAAAAAAGGTGTAATCTGCGCCAAGTCCAAAAGTCAATCAAATAGTAATCGATGAAGTAGGCAGGTACTTTGACGAACGATATAGTTTATTGATTCCACAGCGAATTAGCCATACACAAGATACACATCAACTTGTCAGTTTGGTATTCTTGAAATCTTGACCAAATCCTTATACATTTTTTTCTCGTTTCTCACATTTAAAACAAGATAATATTTGTAAATAATATTTTTTTTAAATGTGTTTTTATTTGATAAAGCTTTTGTTAGTAATATACTTAAAAACTACATACTCTCCACCTTATTTTGACAAAAAAAAAAAAAAAAATAGAAAAATGCATAGGTTGTGGGAAAAAAAACAGTAAAATGGTAGTTAAATTATTATAGGTTTGCCATACTAGGTACTCTTATTAAAAATATTAATTACCCACCCATTTAACTACCTATTTGTTAGTTGCTATAATTATGTGCTCTTCCATAAAAATGAATTTATATATTAGTATAAATTATACATAAATCGATGTTGGATATCCATAGGGATTCTTATAAAAGATGTCTTTCAAATTATTCAGAATAGAATTTTACAATAATGTATATTTATTATTTATATATCGAAATAAAAAAAAAATGAAATGTCTTAGTCGTTAATTTCGTAACATCTGCATTCTGCATTATACCATAGAGGGATAATAGACAATAAATTCTTTGTTATAATATTAAATATATTTTTAATTTTGAAATTATCTTTTTTATTATTTCCCAACTATATTGAGATTTTCAGCATATTATTAAACCTATTCTAAAAAAAAAATGTAAGCCACAACATTATAGAATTTTGCACAGACTCCACAATTCATCGGTGCCGCCCTGCCGCATGCATGTTAAAGAAGATAATGTTAAGCAAACAGTAGTCATTATTTTCTGCTGATGTTGACATCTGCCCGATTTCGCAAACTACCGATTCAGCACATAATTCAGTTTTACTTGTCGATTCACATTTTATCTATTGCATTCTTTTAACTGATGAACAGTATACACATTATGCGAATATGTTTGCAACCGTTGCAATCTAGAAGTTCAAAAACGAAAAACTCAGAAGATATGCCACTAATAGTGGTCTAAGAAGTGTATGTACCTACTTAATAGTTGACATCACTAGATACAACAAAATAGTTATAGTAGTTATAGGTTAGATGTAACCTAGGTGTATTGTGTATAGGTACTGAAAATATAACACAGAATTGTTCAAAAATGCAATACGTATCAATTAGTATTCATGATACATTTCTTTTAATAAATTCCGAATTTTTTTTATCGCTGATATCAGTATAGTATAGTAGGTACAATGAATAATGAATATTATTATTTAATATCATATTATAAAATGTTTTTATGGAACATTTTTTTGTAGAGTCGACTGACACGTGTGTAGAATTCTATAGCTATAGTACAGTACCTACAGCTATTTCTTTACAAATATTTGTAATTTTCCTTTAATATGTCTATATAAATGGTAGGTAGGTACGTAAAAATGTTAAAAAATAATAGTTTTTATATTTTTTTGTCGTTACAATATTGTATTACCATTATATACTATTCTAGATAGGTACCTATTTAGTGACAATATTAAACCATCAAGCAGACATTTGAAGTCGTAAATATGGAGTATAAATATCTATATATATTATAATTTATATTACCTAACATTAAAATGAAAATAAGTAAATGTTTTTTTTTTCGCAAAACCAATACCCACTTATCTAGATTCTAGGAATATTTTGACTTAGGTGTTCGCCAACAGTGGTTTCTTATTAAAACTTATTTATTATTGGGGTATACCTAGGTATTCGTGAACAATAAATCGATTCGCTGCTTAGCAAAAAATATATATTACATAAAGTATAATATTATGATATCTAACAATATAATGATTGAATATAACGATGTTTTAGGAATGAAAAATCTCGCTAGTATGCCGAATCGTCCAATGATTTTGATCGGCGGATGAGTAATCCGTCAACGCATACATCACATCATATGTATATTACCTGCCTACTAAGACAAATATTTGAGGTCTAAAACCTTTAACTCACATACTACCGAGGTGTGTTTTTACCAGAAGTGTCCTAAATCTCCTTGTAAACAGGATGAGAGATATTATATAGGATTATTAAGTACATAATTTTACTTAAATGTTTGTGTTTAAATAATAGTTTTATTTAGTCCTCAATAACTATTAATTAATTACCTATTGCCTACTATATTATCCACCGCTTTAATTTATAAGACCTACGCACCATATTAAACTGTTATGTTCGAAAATAAATACTTCACAGCTGTTAATATATCTACATCCGGATTTTTATTTGGTTAATCAATTATTGATTATTGGTTCTACAACGATTGCAACGAGTTGGTCTCAAAAGGTTTCATACAGGTCATTTGGTATTATGTAGGTATATACTCCTATATCGGAAATCATACATAATAATATAATGTCACATTTTTCGTAAGCATTTTGTCCTTATAATAAAAAGTAAAATCAAATCGTTCCTTATCGGTACCTTACATGGGCGCCCATAGCCCATAGGTAACATTTTAGGGGGGGTCAAAATAAAAAATTTCGGTAATAAGGTAATATTTATTAAGCTGCAAGTTCATAATATTTTTTTCCAGGGGGGCAAGTGCCCCCCCCCCAATGAACGCCCATGGTACCTTATATTAGATAAGTAGGTCAAAAGTAGATTAAAAAAAAACAATCATGTTTGGTTAAAAATATTTATCCAATACCTATGAGGTTGACTAAGTTTTTTTTTTAGATTGTCCTTGTTTTAATCCTCATAACTCCATTGGCTTATTTCCTATAATGTACCTACAATTAATGTTATGTATGTTTTTATATTTATTTTCCTTACCACCGTTTATTTTTAAAAAAACTTATCATAATAGCATAAATTAAATAGCCGTGTTTAATATCAAAAATGATCTAACCACCACCGTCCAGTGGCATATTTGCGGGGGAGAGGGTTCAGGAGTACTGTCAAGACTGGTACAGAAGACAGAACCCCCAAAAAAGAAGGATAACTAAATACATTGAAATTGTAATTTGATATTATGATATAATACAATGTAGATGATGTTTTTATAAAGACGTTAAGTATAACGAACAATTTTCTAAAATTAATACACATAAAATGCTAGAATTAAAAAAATGTTGCCTCCCCAAGTCCCCCACAGAAAAAAAAGAAAATACACCACTACCACCATCAATTATGATAATCAAATACATTTTTGAGTCACAATCCAGGAAGAGTATTTAATCGTAATTTTTTAAAACATATAATTTTTAACCTTAAGTTACTTACCTAAGTTAGTTTTGTTATAAAAATTATTTTTTATAGCTAATAAACTATTTTTTTCGGATAATTGGGTTGTTTTTTGTTGTCCTTGTGAGGAAAATTCCTAATACGACTATGAATTATGATTGTTTATAGTAAGTATATTATATTATATTACTATATTAATTAATAATTAGTATACAATTACTGAAAATTTCAGTCTGAAACATCACCTAGTAGTAGCATTAACTGATGTTCAACAGATATCAATATCTACCAAGTGTTATGTACTGATAATTACTAAGTACAAAAATGTATAAGCAAATTTAGGTATAATAATTGTTATCTATTTTTTGGTCTATATTTCATATGAATACATCGACATATTATAGCCCTAAATTATGCTTTTAATGATTATAATTTATAATTGAATGTTAAAAAATCAGTCTCGTCCTTCCTTATAGGCTATACCAAATAATTTTACCAGTACTGTCATTGAAGCCTAATTTTTTGTTTTCATATTTTTAACAGTTGAAATATTTTTTTAGTTGAAATTTAGCAAAAGACTTTAATATTAAAACGAAACACACTATTATTTGGCATTATGATGCGTAAACCATAATTCGTTCCCGCAAAATTTGCATAATTCCAGTGAATTCTCACACGCTTCCGGGAATCCCAGCCACATTATGTTCTGGGGAATTGCCCATCTCTAAACTTACAATAAAAAAACCGATACACAGATTTTTTTAGGTTTTATGATCAGAATATTGAGTCAAATTAAAATTTTTTTTTAACTGAACTCACATGGCACCGCTGTATCTATAGGAAATTAAAAACATGTCAATCAAAGATTTTTTTCTATTTTATGATCGTGTTACAGTCGCTGATCGGACAAAATCGGTGTCCACTGTGATCCGCGGAGGCCGCCTCGTCAATAACGTTTGTACGGCTTCCCACAGCGGCCGACTCGCCAGAAACGTTCGTACGGCCACCAGTGACGGCTTTGTTGCCAGAAACGTTTGTAAAGCATCCAGCGGTGGCCGTCAAGCTAGACACTTTTGTACGGGTAGCCACGGCGGCAATGACGACGAGCCACGCCTGACGCACGTGGACAGGCGGTCGGGGGACGCGCGCATGGTGGACGTTTCGGGAAAACGTGAAACTCGGCGGACGGCCACGGCGGTGGCTCAGGTCCGGTTGGACGCGACGGCCACCCGGCTAATTGCAGAGGACGCGTGCAAGAAGGGTGACGTGCTGTCCGTGGCCAGGCTGGCGGGAATATGTGCGGCTAAGGTCACGTGGCAGCTCATACCGCTGTGCCACCAGATCCGACTGGACTCCGTGACGGTGGACGCCCGGCTAGACGAGCGCCGTGGCCGCGTCCACATAACGGCCACGGCCGTCAGCACCGACCGGACGGGTGTCGAGATGGAGTGCCTGACGGCGTGCTCAGTGACAGCACTCACGGTTTACGACATGTGCAAAGCTGTCAGCCGAGACACGGTCATCGAACACGTCAAGCTCTTGTCCAAGACGGGTGGCAAAACCGATTATCGAGCAAAGGACGACGACGATGATTAGCGCTAACGATCGAATATTATAAAGGATTCATAATATGCGATTACGTTCACTTCAAGACTTGTTTTTTGCATATACCTACATTTTATGTTACATTACAGTAATCAGATATTGGTTGATGCAGGCCGATTTTTTATGACGCGAGTAATATTTTGTGATATAAATATTTCATAATTTGGTAGGTAGATACGTATTATAGTTTATAGTTTAAAATGTACAGATTTTCTAATAGAAAATTCAAAAAATATCTTATGATAGCTTTTAAAAACCTGCCAAGTCTGTACATCAACGTAACAACCGACAACTGCGTATAGGTAACAGCGTTCTAAACACACAAACAAGTGAAACATAAATAAACATAATTACATTTTGACAGGTATCTATTTGAAGTAATTTACTTGTTGCAACATAAAAATTTCGATTTTTTAAGCTACCTATTACCTTCTTGTACAGTTGTATTGATTGAGTTGTAAAAAAAGTTATTAAAAATGAACGAATATTTAGACTTAAAAATAAAGGTAAAAACTATATTTCAAGTATAAACACCACAAGTACTTTGGAACTCTTTTAGTATATTATACATTAAATTAAGAAAATCGAAATAGGTATAATTAATGCGTCATAATATTACAGCACTTCATTTTATGTTTATATATATTAAGTTTATTTGCTTACAGTTTATTACATAATATATATATGGTATTATAAATATAGAATATTATATCACTTGGGCCTATATTATTATAATGGGTTTGTTTGGCATTAATTCTACGAAGTTAATATATATAAATATATATATTAAAAATGTTGTTTCGAAATGGTAACTATGAGTTGTACATGATTTACATTCATATATATATGTATGTATGTATTATTATCGAATAGCCCGAAATATACAATATAATAATATTATTTAACTTATAAATTATAATACTTAATCATAGTCGTTTCCATAATATTAACATATTATATGATAGCATGTGTTACATATATATAATAAGAAATACCTAATAATTAGTATTAACATTTTAAAAAATAAATAAATAATAATACAAAAATTAATTATAATATTTCTTAATGCGGAAATTAAATAAAAATATTAAAACGTAGGTACTTAAATACAATATAGGTATTAATTATAATAATATTATAATTTATTTCTGCTATTAGTATACCTTAATGTATGATTAACAACATTAAATGACCACAGACAAAAATAATACATCAGCAATATAGTTTTAACATTTATGAAGAAAATAAATTAAAAAATTAAAGCTTGTATGATTATTTTGAAAGGTTTGTTAGATTGACCTTAACATAGATTTGAATTACACGCATTTGATTTATGATTATGAAAACATCGGAATAAAACTGTTTCTATATATATATATATCTTGATATCTTGTTCATAATAATTTAGTAAACACAAAAATCCAAAGATTTTTTTATCATTTCTAGGTAAATAAAAAAATTGTTTTTTTTCTATTTAATATTTAAAACCTAAAATTAAGTTACTTGAATAATTTTGTTTAATGTAATGATTGTACATAGACAATATTAATGCTGTTTTTTAATTAAATAGATACAAAAAAGCATTAATATTTAAAACCATTTCAGGCTAAATAATAGCATATTAAAAAAAATGTTATCACGAATTTGATCTGGCCTTTAAAATGTCATAGTAAACATTAGCTGAAAGTTATTACATTTAGGTAGTTATTATATGCATAGTAAAACTAATTATTTAAATTCATGTAAGTACCTAACTCGTACAACAATATTTTATCAATTAGTTTTTTGTAACCTATTAATCGTTGATAGATAAATTAAATGAATCAAATATTTTTTTAAATATATTTATGTACTATTTTTAATTTAAATTACTTATTGCTGCAGTGAAACATTTGAATGTTTGAATTTATAGTATCATATGAAATTTTTGAAAAATTATTTTTACTATATGGATGGAAGTGCTAAAACAAAATATTAAATCAGTTAAGTCAGTTATTATTTTCAAAGTTACACAGTAATATGGAAATTTAAATGTACGTAATATGAGCTGTGAAATAATTTAAATATCATGAAATATCATATTATACCTATCAAAGTTAAGACTGATAACGGAAAATTTTTTTAAAAATACTCTTGGTTTATTCATATTTTTTAAGCTTGGTCACTTGGTTGAGTTATGACAAATAGATTTTGTTGAGTTTTTGACATGTTTACACATTGAGCAATGATCCAATTATGAAAAAGATTTCAGTGATTTTTATTCATGTAGTTATAAGATTAATTCGGGTCTTTAATAACGATATACTTTTAATAAAATCGTACAGCAAAATAAATATCATTGGTTTCAACTTTTAGGTGTATGAAACTTAACAGTTTCATAAAGTTATGAGATACTGTCATTAAAAAAGAAGGAAATGTCTAAACCGGTGTTTCACAAAGCTTGCACCATGGTGTCTGCACAGCGGTGTCTTTACAGGGTTGTCCTGCAGTAGAATTTTATATGGTTCAAAAATAAATTTGAAAACCCAATGATGGTGTCTATGGATACAATTATGTAAATAAGAATGTATAAATTATGTATAATTTAAATTAAACACAGATATTTTTCATATTACCCATTGCAAATTTTGTCTGATTTTTATTTAATTGTTCTAGTCATATGACTTGGGGAGAGCAGACTTAGAAAACTTTAGTAGGTACAAATAGGCCGCCGCATAAAAGCTTGGAAACCACTGGGTTATAAAATTACTTTTCTAAGTAGAAAAAAAGTAGAAATACACTTAAAACTGCACATTACAGAGCCGAAATATTTGGTTTTAATAGTTACTGGATCAAAGATAAAAGGTTCTTATACTTAAAATATATTTAACAAAACAAAAAACCTAAAAATAATTCAAAGTATTGCTGGCCCCAAAATTGTAATTATGACAACAAAAATTCTGATTAAGTCAACACAGATAAATGAAGACATTAATTTATTCTTAAAATCTTAGAGATGATCAAAATTAAAGTAATACATTTTTTTGAAGATTGTAAGGTTTTTGAAAAAAAATGTGTACGAATCAGGTTTTCATAAACATAAACAATTTTATTTAGTAAAGGTATTAATACTTTCAAAAATTATCATTTTGAATTGCAAGATAAGTGCGTATATAATATACACAACTATGTATTTAATAAAAATAATTAACACAAGCTATAATTGACATATTTGCTGACTCCAATAACCAAATTAAATTGACAAATTTTATTTTAATTTAAAATAATAATGCTATATATATATATATATATATAGTTAAGTGGTAAATCAAATTAAATCAATGATACAACAAAAATAAATAAATTTATGCCAAATGATGAAATATTATGAAATGGATGTTTGATACAAATTTATGCATTTTACGCCTATTTATTTTTGACAAACAAAATAAATAAATAAGAAACCCTTAAATATTAGTGTCTTTTTGGTTCTTATAATTACAAGTATAAATAATAGTTTTAAATAAACTAAATAAATGTGTACATATCATTAAATTTGCGCATAGCTAATGCTAGGTAAACATAATTTTAACCAATTTTATATTACCTTATTAAATACAGATGGATTCTTTATTATGTAATAACTGAATACAGCAGAATATTAAATCAATTATTTGGTTACTTATAAAATATTATAAAAATTGAATTATTAGTTATTAATTATGACTGTGCACAAGAACAACTAAGATGCATCGTAGCATTTTTTAATAGCAAGATGATTAATCACAAATTTTAAAACAACTGTTGAGCATAGGTAGACATTAATTAGTTGAATTTTTGGGGCGAATAATATGGCCTGCTCTCAGATTAAAATATAGATGTTACTTGAGATATGGGACTATTGATATTTCTGGAGAAATAATACTCTAGAACCACTCCTTTTCAACATGTCACCCATGCTGTTTAGTGGGCTTTGAAGAAGTTTAGGTGGGCAAACCTTCACAATATGTATATTGTATACATTTTAAATGCTTCAAATATATTTAACTTTTGTTCACATTTTATAAAACAAGTTATTTATTTTATGAGTCATTTAATGGAATATTTAAACATATATTTATATTTTTCACATTTTAGATATGTCCAAAATCATGGTTTATATTTTACGTAAGAAATACTTATTTAAAAAGATATTTTATTCTATAATACACATCTTAGTAATATTGTGAGCAGTAAAAAAATATATTAATACATATTTATGTTTTATTGGTTAAGTTTTTTTTCTAAAGTTAATATTGTGTTTTAATATATTTTGTCAAAATTGTTCTATAACTTAGAGTATGTAATACATATAAATATGAATTTATAGTATTTAATACAATTATTCAAGACTAATATTTGACTAAACGTATGATTTCTAAGCTGTGAATGGCCGCAGTGACGAGCTGCGACGACTAGTTGCAATTTGAAAACAGTACTTTAATTGAACAAACTGAAAAAAGAAACTTTCGACTAGCAAAGATATTTTTTTAATGAAATCTGATTTTTAAAGTTACCAAGCAATACACAATTTAAATAACAATATACTACAAGTTACAACCACTATTATTACCTCTACGGTTTTTGTTCAAATTCTAATTATTTATGAAGGTACCTATAATTTAATTTGTTTTAAATAGTTTGTGTCTCTGTACTAAAACTAACTAAGTTTTATTTTGTTTTTGTATTAGAAACTTATGAGTATTCAAATAATATTGAAAAAAACAATACTTTTATAATATATATTAACAATTTTAAATATTTCTTATATAATAAGTATTCTTAAACAATACAACCACTTTAAGCACATTGAGGTATAATTTACGTGCTTTATATAATAACATCATAAATAGGATTATTTTTATTTTATTTTAAAATACTATTTTATTAAAAATAAATCTATTATCTGTAGAAAACAAAACTATAACATCTATGACATAATCTAACAAAAAAATGTATTCTAGTAATAAATTCTATTATTTATTAGTTAATAAGTGTATAACAGAGGATAATGTTTTGAAAGCCACAATTAAATAAATGTTTTTAAGAGGACATCATACCCATATGTGTTTTCTCAGTCTAACTAACATAACAAATTGTACGTTCAGTAGATCACATAAAGCTTCGTTAGTTTAAAAATTATAGTGAATTGAAATCTTATAAAATTCAAGGGTAAGATTATTATTCAGAAGTCCTCATGAGCTTTTTTAATTTTTTAAATTTTGAAGCGAGTTAAAAGTATTTTAAAATTATACATCTTAAATACTCTTAACTCACTACGAAATTAAAGCTAAGAGTAAAATTTGCTAGTAAGACAGAGACGGCACATGCGGGTATGACGTCCTTTTAAGTTTAGGAACATTTGTATCTAAAAATAATTAACTGCTGAAAATGTCTTTGGTAATTTTTTAATATTCAACCTATTTTAAGACTATAGATACCAAAATTAATGAAATAAAGAATTATCATTAACATTATTACATTCTTAATTCTTTATAAACATAGCTTTTGAAAGCACCTATTTTTGTGTTTTATGACTAATGACTTTTGGAGGTATAATAAAAGTAATTTAAGCAATATTACTTATACATTTTTTCCTAAATAAATTACTTTTACGTTTTCGAAATATTTTTTAATTTATATGGATGGTTTTTGAAATATTAATGTTTCAATAAACACAATTTCTGGCTAATACATAAGTAAAAATTTCATAATTAGATTAAAAAAGATAAAACATAAAAAAAACAGTTATTCACTTAAATGTATTAACAAATATTATTTTGGAACTAACCAGGAAAATTAATGTTAGCATTTATAACTAAAATGTTGGTATTAGTTTTAATATATTCTTACAATATTTATAATATATTTTCAACAATCTATACATATATACATAATTATTTAATTATAATTGGACCTACATGGTTAATAAAAACAAACTATTGATATTAATTCATAACGATAGCAATGGTTGAGTTCCTCTGACTAAAATTAAATATTTATGTATACGCATAGATATAATAATATATATTAGACAACATTGATCAAATTAATTTTCTAAATAAGGATGGTAAACCGACAGTCTGTGAATTTATTTAAACCTACCAACTACCATATTTTTTATCAGTTAAAAATGTTATTCTTATAATAGTGAAATAAAAATATAATGCTGAATTAATTTTGTACATTATTTATGTCTTATAAGGTTTATTTAAAAAATAACTTAAAGTAATGATGAATGTATGTATTATGATTGATAATTTCATCATCAAATATACAGGTATATTATGCATAAATGGTAATATTATTTTAAAAATACATGTTTTTCAATGAATAATAATACTTATTTGAAGATTAGAACTATTTTCTTGTCAAATTGTGTAAGCTATTTTTAATGAGTATAATAAAACTTTTCCTTCAAATTTAATTTAAAAATATTCTATAAATAAATTAATAAATAAATCAAAATAACAATTATTTAGTCAAACAAGCATGGAGAATTCAAGTAATTAGGCTTTTAAAACTATTAAACAACTATAAAGCATATAAATAATATACCTTATTTTGACATTAAGGAATGTATCACTCAATATTATCACAGCAATGAAGTTTCATCATCATAATTGTTCGTTAAGTTGTGTTCGTAGTTCTGGAAACATTTCTGCTAGTAAAACATCTAAAAGCCTGTAGAATAATTGTTTATTCATCACTGAATTTTGTGTACATTGAAACAAACACATATACAGTGGAAAAAAAACTGAATTATTCAATAGTTTTAAATGTTCAACTGAAATTTGATGATCAGTCTTTTTTGGCGCATCATCACCGGGAAATAGAAGATCTATAAGAATAAAAATAATATTCAATTTACAAATGTTTATGCATTGAGAAACTTCTACATACTTTCTAACAGTTCGATTAAGGTTGAAATTTTGGAAGGTGTTATTGATCTTACAATACGAAGACTGATGTAGCGCTGTATAATAGAATCAATAATATTACCACATATTGATTGTACTGCCAAAATTAATCGGACAACAGCATTTGACATATTGTACACATAAACTCCAAAAAAAATGATGCAGTTAATTGGAGTACAGGGAAATTGTATTTGATCTGATATTTCTTCTAATGTTGATTGGGTTTCATCTTTAATTATATTTAAGTTATTACCAAAAATCGGATTCTCAGCAATTTTAAATTTTCTTTCAGGAGGATGTTCACTTAAATCTTTCCACTCATACCTGTAATTCAAAACAGAGGTATCATGACATTTTTAATTTAGTATCATTTGTATCTAATTGTATAATATAATACTAAATATTAATAACAAATTGTTAAATAGTAGAATTATATTGTATTTATACCTTTGTTTTAATTTAGTTTCAATCGAAGCCATAAAAACAGAAATGAATGATTCTAAATTTTGTCCCCTTTCTTTTCTTAAAGCCATTGGCATAGATTTCCTTAACAATCTTCCAATGGCTGATTCTGAATCTTCAAAATTGTCTATGGAGGTTAAAAACATATGCAATAAGTCAGATCCCCTAAGCTCAGGTTTCTGTAACAGTTGATTGAGAAATTGCAAATATATGTCATTATTTTCTGTTTTTTGTAATAAAATTCTTCTTGAAGGTAATCGAGCATCCACAAATACTCCATGAAATTCAGTGAGTTTTGATTTTAAGGTGTAAAAGTCAGCAAGTCTTCTTTCTACACACCATTGTTTAATTGAATCATTTTTAATTGTCTCTACTGTAATGAAAAATACTAATGATTGACCACCGTTGGATCCAGATTCTAACTTCATAGCTGATGTTACATCAGTTACCTTCCATGTGCTTAAATCTCTTTCACTATTAATGATTTCATTATCAATAGATAGATCTTCTCCATACTCTGGATCACATTCAGAAGATAAAGAATCAAATTGACCATCATATATTGTACTTGACTTCATAGCTCCTTTAAGCCTATTTAATTTGCGACTAAGCTTAGAAGCATGATTTTTTTTTTCATTATTTGACAATGATTCTTGTGATGAATCAGTCTCTGGAACATTGCGTGGTCCACATATCCAAGAAAAATATTCATCAGAATTATGAAACTCTATCCAGTAACTATTTTGTAAGATAGAATAAGTTTGTTCGTAAGCTTGATACAGTGGCTTTGAATTTTGGAGTTTAATAACATCCTTGGATAAAACTTTTCTTAGCTGACTTACCAACTCAGGATCAAAACTTATACAATCTGGTGAATGAGAACTAAAATACACAGAAAATATATCCCAAGCATCTCGATAGAGCATGTCAAGTTCTTGAGATGATATTTCAGGTCTTAACATGCGCTTGTTAAACTGATCAACATCTAAACAAAATTGTAGCAAATGTACAGCACCTTTTCGTTTCAAAAAAACTGTAAATGCTGATAATATAGTCGAATCTTTAAATATACTACGCATTTCAAGTTGTACAGGATCATTTTGATTTTCAGCTATAAACTTTGATAAAAATTCAACTTGTTCATCTTTACATGTCGTAGTTGTTGAAATAATTGATGATTTGGATAATTTTGACCAAGTAAAAGCAATGTTGGTTGGGTTACATATTACATCAGATATTGGCAACAATACCCAAAGTGAAAGAAGTTCTCGCAGTAAAGTATAAAATATCCTGTAAAGCAAATTAAGTCAGTAAATTATGTTATTTTATACAGAAACAGAATTATTTAAATAAAATATATTCATACGCGCACTGAAGATCAGTTTGTCGAATTATGAATGGCAGTAAACTTGAAGATACTTTTTTAAGGTACATAATCTCAACTTTACGATTACTGATGGCATAATGATATGCAATTTTTTCACCCTTTTCCATTTTTTGGCAGTGCCTTATATGAGATAAACATATTGGAATTACTTTATGCAGCACAATACCTTCTAAATTCAACTGAAATATTACATAAAAAGTAAATAATTTTTTCATGAAAATAAAATGATAATATATCTCTTTATTTAAAAACTGATTTAATATGAATATTATATGTAACTATTATACTAACTTGTAATAATCTTTTAAGCAATGCACTTGTTGCAAATCGTATAACTTGCTTAATTTCTTTTATAAAATGTGGATCGTTTGAAATATTATTATACCAACTTTCTATATATACCTTTATAATTTTTGATAATAACTAAAAATAATAATAAAGAGTATTTAATTTAAGATTATTTACTATAAAATAAATTTTACTTTATCTATTGAAGAATCAATTTGTTCTGGTATTAATAATCCTTTCCATGGTGTTTCTTGATTTAGACATTTTAAATGTATGTCACATGAAATACAGTTTTTGCAATTATTACACTTAAATATTTTAGTCTTATCAAATATATTCTCTGATCCAGGGGTGGTATTTAAATTTTGGTTCCTGTAAAATAAATCCAATTACAAGCAATAATCTAAAATGTATGAGAGTGCCAAAAATATGTTTTTAAATGTTATAGTTTCAAGTATTGTTAGTAAAATAGATAGTATAAATTAAACTTACTTAAAGGCATAATCAAACATGTAATATCCACAACCGATCGCAATAATAATAATGATGAAACTCAAACATCTGGATAAAATAAAAATAAAATGGTTTTTATAAATCATATTATTGTTTTAATATTAACAATCAATACATTATATTTATTAAAGTAGTTTGACTAGCTATAATAGAAAACATTTATACTTAATTCTTAAACTAAGTAGTCAGAATTTGAGGGTTTAATTTAGTTGTTGAGCAGTATCAAAAACACTAGTACAAATTCATCACTAGTTTCATGTAATATATTATATAAATATGTAATCAAAGTTCATCATTTAGATACATGTTGTATATCATTTAAATACAACCTACATTTTATTTTTTTTACCTTCTACAGCATAGGCCATTGAGTATGTGGGAGGGGGGGAGTACAGTTCATACATCTAGAATTCATGTTTTTATGTAAGGCATAGATTTGCTACCAAAATTGAGTTAGGGTGGTCACCCATCTGGGAGCCAATGAGCTGAACAATGCTTGATCATAGCACACATAGTCTATATTGCTAATCATTGAACCACACTAGGCCCACTTAAAACTATGTTATAATAATATTTGGTTAAGTAATGAATTTGTAATTATTTGTGAATCGGTATTCATTTAGTATGTGACCTTCTGGACCACGTGACCTACCGTATTGGATATTCATTTAGTATTTTTAGACAAATTAAAAATCACAAAATTATATTATTTTATTATTATTAATTAATTAGTAATAAAGTAAGTAAACAATATTACAGGATTACATTTAATAATGTCAAAATTAGTAGGGAAAAAATGTATGAATTATTATTATTATTACAGCAATAATATGTCAAAATTATTCAGTTATAAAATTATTTTACAGTAAAAATTTTTTAATTTATTTAAAAAAAAAATGTCTAGCAATACAAGTAGACAACTTTTTAGGCAGGTCACATAACAAACTCAATTTTTGTTCGGAAGGTCACATACGAAACAAATACCAGTCAATCTACATTAATGGTGATAAAAATGAGTTTGACTTCCAAATTTTAATGTGTTATGTGTGGTAAAATTTTCCTTTTTTTAATAAATTTAGTCCATAATTTGTCTATAATTCTTTAAAAAGTTTCTAACATAAACTTTAAAATTAATAATACTAATTTGCATTTAATACCCACTTTTATTTTAAAATAAAATAAAATATATAGGTACCTATACATCTATTTTGTAATTAATGTGTTTTATTAACTTAAACTGTCATTCTATAGCACTTTAATTAATTAATTAATTTTATTTCATTTAAATTTTTCTTTATATAATATATAAAGAAATATATCAACTTCTTTCAGTCAAGAATTGTGACAGAGTAGGGAGTTGACAAATTAATAATATAAATTTTAAAATGTAAATTAGTAAATTACAAGAAACACCTTATTACCTAAAAATTAATGAGACGCAACTCTCCATAAAAAATAATGAATAAAAACCGAAAATCTAAAGTAATACAAGAAATTGAAATTATCAAGAATGAAATTACAATAAAAGTAAACATAAATTAATACATATAAAAATAGACAAAGAACAAACTAAAGTCGAGTTCTAAATCTCAACCGGAAAATAGAATATGTATTTATATTAATTAAACACTAGATAATATTTGAACTAAAAATAAAATGAAATTTAAAAAAAAACAATAATAAAACTATAAAATCACTAAAATACAGACTATTATATTAAAGTAGTAGACAAATCGGCGAGTAGCCACTTATAAACTTCATTTTTCCTATAGACTCGGGTTGAAATAGGTTGGACCTAAATAATCTACAAAAGATTGCCCAAAAGTTTTTTTTGTGTACTTTACTGGTAAATTATAAGCTCTATGTTCTCTTAATTGAGAAAAATCAGTATAGTATGAACAGTAAGGTGCCTAAAACACTACCCTGAGGCATACCATATTTAATAAAACTAGGATCATCATTTAACATCATTTAGTTTCACTATTTGTTGTCTATTCTTATTACAATGTACTCTTAAGTACATTTATAAAAAGAGAATGAATCTTAATTGGCGCAATTTAAACTACATGATAAAATGTACAATTATATCAGCACACTATTTTTTTTTCTTAACTAATCCATACTGAAAATAGCAAATATGTGTTTTGCAGAACTAATCTTGTATTGTTCGCTTTAATATTAAAGAGAATTGATCTATTATCAAACTCAAGTTAAAATAGGGATCCCAGACTTATTTTTTTAAATACAGGACATTTTAAATCATACTAATACTTGTAATTTACATAGATATTAATTAAGTGAAGAGGATGAGGGGTCATATTCCCTCAAAATTCAAAATGTATAGTCAAGATTTTTTTACTTTTTAAATAGTCACCAGATTTTTTGTAGGTACCTTAAAAATATATTGAAATATAGGATAATTGAACCTTCGTTAATAATTAACATAGGTACCATAAAATTAAAAATGTGATATTTCTTATATACATTCTTAGTAAACATTCGATAACTAAAATTTTATTTGGCCTCAATATAAAGTTTATTTTTTATTTTTCCTCACATTAAACAAAAACTTAATACTCAATACTTGTAAGTCAAAAAAATTATATTAAAAAAAAAATAAGAAGAATATTATGTGACTTAAATAAAATTATTTAAATTTTAAATTGCTTAATGATAAGAAAAAAATTAATTGTTTTAATAATTTTGAAATAAGGTACCTACATACAGAACAGATTATTCAAAATACGTAACAAAAATGTTATTTTGGACTGTCAGGAGACAGTAAATAAGTACATTCATAAGACTTGGTGCTTACAGCAGATGCAATATTTAATCTTTATATAATGTTTAATGTTTATTATATTACAATGTCATTTAAAGAACATAAGCTTGTTATATTCATAAATAATTAAATTGTAAGATTAAAGAATGTTTTCAAATAAATAACAGAATTACCAATTAGATTTCTTTTGATTGTAAACCAGTTTATAAAATAAAGAATACCATACAGGTAAGTAAACAAATGAACAAAAATTGCTGGTACAATTGAAATGATTTTTTAAGTCTTAGCATATTGTGTACAAACTTCATTTGCAACTTACCCCCATACAAACAAATTGAACAGAAGTACACAGCTAATGGCCACTAAGCCATAGTAAACAATCCTGTCATCTGTCAACAGGTCGAGGATGTCTTTCATTTTGCTCCATAACAAACACCCGAAGCGTCTTGCAAGAAACCGACTAGAGACCGTAAAACACGAATTGGTCGATTACAATATTAGTCATCGTCGCTATTGACGTGTTTCTGTATATATAATTATTTACAATTAACAACAATTATTATAATGACGGCATAATAACACTCGAATATTGTGTTACACTCGTAAAATGTATTAAATTATATTGTATTACTATTATAATACGCCAGTGATTTGTTACGAATTTACGGGTTATCTTATCAACAGTGACAGTGATTACGTTTTTATCATCGGGCGTGCTCGTTTCTTAACATTATATCTATGAAACTAAATAACGGGCGCGGCTCTTAAGTATATGTCCACGATCGATATGCCGTAATATGCAATGTATTATATATATATATATGCATATATATATATTATTTAAATGTGTATTATAATAGAATATTCTACAATCGTCGGTCGATGTCAATTGAATATTGTTAAAATGTATTGCCGTCTATAATTGAGAAATTTTTTTCAAATGGTGTCTGGCTAGACAGTCAGTGACCTGCATGGATAGGTATTTGAGTATTTCGTATATTTATGATGGTTTTTTTTCAATTAAGTACCTATAGGTAGTACGGGACACCTCTGTATGTCAAACTGTCAATGATCCCCAAAGATACAAACCAAAATTTAAATCTTTACTTTATTAAATCATTGGCCATTGCATACAGTTGCGCCGAACACAAATATCATGTGGAACGATGACTTCACTTATTAAATTTAAATGCCTGGGAAGTTGCTCTGGGTGGGTGAGTGGTTAGACAAAATTGTTTAGTTACTCCGACCCACTGATTGTATACCTACGAAACATTCTGCAATTCTACTATTCTGAACAAAGGAGAAGGGCAGTATTTAAAAGTCTTCAATGCCTATAAAAATATTAAATACGATTGTGTTTTATCCCTTAGAGGTAGGGTTACTATACGTCTGGATTTCGTCTGGACAGTCCAGATGTCAAACATCTGTCCGGATTTGAAAAATGTCCGGAATTCCGGATTTTACAAAGATAATCGTTTAACATGGTTAAATTGATACAATATGTTATATCAGGTGACAGATTTTCGTGTTCACTCTATATAAATGCACAGTATGTAATTTATATTTTTGTTCGTATTTTTTCAATATACATACCTATTAAAAAATAAAATAAATATTTTATTTATTAAACTTATTTTACCCCCCCCCCTCCCCCTTGAAACGGAACTAATGTCCGGATTTGGTCTAAAAACATTATGGTAACCCTACTTATAGGTATTTTTTATAATTGCTGTAAGAACAATCGTTTTTACGACTTATGAGGGTCATTGCGTACACATTTTTAATCCACGAGTATTGAGTTGTACCTATGTATGCTCAACTAGACCTCTAAATGGGGTACTATAATATTGTAAACGCCTCATATAACCGTGGAGGACTTAGCCCCCCTCACACCTCTTAGTAACAAAATTAGGTACATCGTCTTACAATGTAAAAATCTACAATAATCAACACTTAAAACTTTTTATACACATTTTAACACACTTCATATAAATGATAGAAACAATATATAGGTACATACTACATGTATTTAATAGGTAACTACTCTTTTTATTAATTTAATAGGATAATATAACTTATGCGATGATTCCAGTAATACACAATCAATTATAATATAGATCTATTTACTACTTAGAGCTTTTTGGTGAGATCTATTTTCTAAAAATTGCTCTTAAGCAATTAATTTTTTTTTCATAATATATTATGTAGGTATCGTAATATTTATCATCCATTTGATTTCAGGTACCTACCTAATTATTTCATATTTTACCAACATAAAATTGATGGTATCTTACTATAATAATAGTTATACTTGAAGAAACAAGTGCTAAATAACAATTTGAAGGTGCTAAAGACCCTTTGCACCCCCCTAGTTGTGCCAATGATTGTACCATGAGTTCAAGTAGGTACATTAATTTAACATTTTATGATTTTTTAAATACAATTAATAATATTTAAAGTTTCAAGAAATTTATCATTTTGAGACGATTTGAGTAGAAACCTACTACTACTACTGACCTATACTACCTCTTAAACAAAAAACTAGACTTATCTTCATGACATTTTTCATTTGCCATATACTACCTACCTAATCTCTACAGATGGTCTATTTATAATTAAGTTATACACTTATACCTCACATGAGCGATCAATTTTTTTTTATACTTAAATTTATGTGGATAATAAATAAAACGCGTTTTTGGACTATCTACGTATGACTTATCTATATATTATATTATTATTTAATGTAATACTGCGTAGTACAAATCGTATAGATAGTAGTGATGTGAATGTGTGACGATAACATTTGGCATGGCCTTTTAGCCTCGATCACATTGGTCGAATTCACTCGTCAGAAAGTATAAGAAAGCCCCCTAGCAAGTTTTGAATACGCGGCTAGTATCTATACAAGTTTTTAGCTATAGCCCTATAGGTACTATAGGCCTATTGCCGCTATTGGTTATTAATTACTAAACGGCTGGGCGTAAAGTAGATAGGTGATAAGTAGGGCTCGGATTTATATTATGTAAATACATATAGGTATTTTCACTGTGATTAAATAATTTAATTTGTTTTGAATGATTTGTAATGAAATGGGCCATACTTATAGGGGCGTCATTTCAAAATGTTGAAAGGTCCATCTATGCTAACAACTAGAAAGGACAAAAAAAATTTCAACAGGCTAATATATTATAATGCATACCTGCTATATAGTTATAAGAAAAACAATTTTTATCGTTACCTACCCTTGAAAATAAGATTCTTTTTATATTCCATGTAATAATCTAATAGGTATATTATGAATATTGTATACCTAATAATATACTAATAGTTATTGTTCTTAAATTATTACTTTTGTAATTTTAAAACTCAAGATTTTTAAACTTAAATTTAAATATTTATACACACTTTACCTATTTTGCTTGAAAAAGTGAAAACATTATTTTTTTTCTTCAAAATACTAGGCCTCACTAAGAGAACTCGTATGGAAGCCTAGGAGTTTTAAATTACCTACATTAAGTATAAGTGTAACGTGTAAGAATAATGTTTATAAAACAAATCCTGAACTCTTTAATCACACATAAAATATTTAATACAAACCAAACATTTTTATATTTCATTTAAATTATTTAATAATAAATTAATAATAATATCATTAATATCCCATAGCCATAGTTGCCGATACTTAAGTCCAATTAAAAATAAATATCATTTGCCTGGAGCAGAAAAATTATCATTTATAATAGTCAGGCCTAAATATAATCTTGATGAATTAAACTGTTGTAGGTACTCATGCACAAGCATTAAGCATACCAATATACCATGCAACACCTCAAATAGTCAAATGACGCTCCCGCGTAGGTAGGTACTTGATATACATATTTCATATTCTCGACATAAAAACATATTTTTAAATATTTCTCTATAATTATTCAATTATTCCCTACCCACACATTTTCACAATTTTGATAATTTATGATTGTATTTTATCAACTGTCTAAACCTATCGTATTTTGATGACAATTTTATATTTCAAAATGTATTTTTTCACAACAAAAAGTACCTACTAATCATAAGTCATGAAATCTAATTTATGCTCGTTATGGGTTAGGTTATCGACTTTTATGATCTCTACATTCGATTGTCAATAATATATTTATATTATAATATATCCTGGATGATGATCTTTTTAATTTATATTAAACCTCGTTTGGACGTCCGGGGTACTGCAGTAGATCATCTTAGTTTAAACTGCCTAAAATCGATAATGCGAAATCTGTATAGTACCTATATTATAACTTTATGTTTCTTTTTACTTTTTAACTTACCATTTTTAAATTAAACTTTTCATTAACTTAATTTTTAACTTAATTTATTTTTATTGATATAAACTTAATAAATAACGAGTTAATTTTAATCAAATACGAGTTACCTACATTAATTTATAAATAATTAAGTAATACAAATAATAAAGTATTATGATAGATGGTACATATTGCATAAAAATTTATTTTTTATTATTTTAAAAACATTACTGACTATTTATATATTAAATAATAAATAATAATAACTTAATTTAAGTTCATAAGTTAATTGTACGTTCGATGTGACTTTCAACTTACCTGCGGACTACTTGAGCTAAAAAAAACAATTAAGAAAACTATTCACTTTAAACTTTTCAAACGTTTTTTATCAACTTAACTCAACACAATAAAATTTACCATTAACTTGGCTAGCTGAGACTTTTAAAAATTACGCCAAAAGACGACGTGTAGTTTTGGTAGATTATTCATTACTCATTACCCACCTTTTTTGAAATAAGCGTCAACATTTTAGAATCCCCTTGACATTTCTTTTCCGATAGTACAAGCTCGCCGACAATCTGATAACACGAGTTCCGAACTTTTGATTCTGAATATTATCAAAATATTGATAAAAAAAAATTTCAAGTTATGATATTTTAATTTTTAATATTTATTTTCTTATTTCATATGTCTATTAAATTTCATTATTGCACTGTTTTGCGTTCGAGCTCGTTATCACTTTGCTGCTCGAGTTGCTGTTCACGTTCAATTGAACGTTGTGCGCTCGTTGTAAACACGACATAAATATAAATCATCATGGACAAAATATTGTACATTGTATCGGCGACACATTTGGTTCTCTGCCCGTTCACCAAAGTCGAGGAGAGTTTCAACATTCAAGCGATGCACGACATTTTGTACTTAAAAAATAATTTATCACAGGTGTGTGTAGACAAAGTTTCATTGACGAATAAACTGTTGCTTTCGCCAGTGCGAATATTTAGATTTCCGTATTTAATTAGGCGTCAAGTTGCCAAGCCAAGAACCATTTTTTTAGTTATTTATTTTATATTTTATTATTTTGGCTAAAACGTATCATACAATTAGAAGTATCTATGTTCTTTGTATATTAATTGAAATTATCTTTTCAATCTTTTATGTACTTCTTTTGTAAATTAAAATAGCAAGTTAAGTACCTAAAACATTTTAAAATTGTTAATATTTTTGCATAATATATTGAATATTTTTCTTAAAATAAAAACAATCCAATTTAAATCTTGAAGGCAGATTTAATTAAAAATATTTTCGTCCAGCTATAGGTACAAGATTTCCACAACTTATTGTATAAATTATTATTATTACCTAATTTGAAAAGAAATCATATTTACAATTTTACGTTGGTAAAGTGATGTTATTAGTGTTGTTAATAATATTCTTGGTTATTGAGGAATAAATTCAATTTCTTTAATATGCAATATTACTGTGTGTTAATTAATTTTCTCCAAGATAAATTTGATCAACATTTTAACTTGAAGTTAATACTTTTCCAGTATGAATCTAAAATTAATTTTTTTATTAAGCGTTCATTTTAGTTTTGTATTATAATAACATTTTTTGTATACTTATTGTTTATTGTATATATTCATAAATATTTTAGTAAACTTAAGTTATTATACAGTTAGAATATTATTTATATTAGTACTTAATACATAATTTATTTTTTCAGTATGATCATTTAGAATTTCCTGGTGTTGTACCAAGGACATTTTTGGGTCCACTGTTCATATCAGCGTTGTCATTTCCATTTAACTTTGTTCTTCAGTATCTTCAGTTCAACAAAATGTTTAGCCAATTATTAGGTAATATTAAATACTATAATATTAATCACTATTTATATATATTTTTAAATTAATTAATATTTTAATTTACAGTTCGCGCAGTATTAAGTATTGTAGTAGTTACAAGTATTAAATACTTTATTAAGAGTATTGCAAAGGTATTCGGAAATGGTGTTGGAAACTGGTTTATCATCCTAACAGCATCACAATATCATTTAATGTTTTATTCAAGTCGTCCACTCCCTAACATTATGGCATTTCCTTTAGGTCAGTATTTAATCTATAAAAGTTAAGTTTCTCTATAATATCTATACACAGTATTGTAAAGACTCACATAATACAGTACTACAGTCTAAAAAATATATTTTAAATGTAAATAATACCTATTATGTAAGAATGTTTGTAATATCAAATGTTCCAAGAATTATAAATTGTATTATAACTTAAAATGACTTATTATCAAGGCTCTGGAAGTCCTTGCAAATGTATATATTTTTTTCAATAATTCTTAGAACATCCAAAGTAAGATAGGTTTCTTTACAACATTTTTGTATATTTATGCTTTACAGTACTATTTTTTCTAATTTGAATCTTTAGTGCTAATTTTAGCTGTATTCTCATATATGAATTGATTCAAACACATTCTGTTGAAATTTTACAATATTTGCTTATCCAGAATGTCTACAATAATATATAAGTTGATATTATTGGAAATACCTGTATACTGAAGATAGTTATTTCTGTAGTAAGAGATCAGGTACTTGATTCCTGACCAGTAATGTTTTTTTAAAAATTTAAATGTTATTTTACTTGTTTCCTAATTGTTAATGCCATTTATTATTCATATTTTGATGTTTTTGGTGTATATTTAAGTCATAAATAATAACTTCCATGGTGCTGCAAGTTTTGAGCCTTCCTTATTATCTAAAAGATGCTTATAAAACTATCTAGTTTGAAGCAGTAAATGTAAATAATTATAACGAACTTTAATGTTTTTACTTTACAATACTGTAGACTGTAGAGTGTTAAGGTATTTTTAAAATAATAATTTACACTATAATATGTGTCACTATAGGTTAATGCTACATTAGTTGAGCATTTTTAAATTATACTAGTTTTTTTGTTAGGGCTACAGTAATGGTAGCACTGAGTTCTTGGATTAGAGGAAAACATACCTTATTAATATGGAGTTCAGCGATTGCTGTTTTAATATTCCGTTCAGAATTGGTTATTTATCTAGGTATTATTATACTGATGGAGTTGTTATATAAGCGTCTTAAATTATTTAGGTATGTCTTATAGTTATTATTTCAAAGTTGTTATATGATTTCACTAGATTTATGTTTGTATAATTATATGCATTTTAAATTGTTATTTTTTAGGGGACTAAAAATTGGAATTTGGGCTGCATTGACTGTTTTGACTTCAAGTATTGTCATTGACTCTATATTTTGGGGTCGCCCAGTATGGCCAGAAGGAGAAGTTTTGTGGTTTAATACAGTACTCAATAGAAGCAGTGAATGGGGTGTATCCTTTTCAACATATTTGATGAAAAAATACCCAAAAAATTTACTAATAGACAAAAGTAACGATTTTTAATAATAAATATCTTTAAAATGTTACCATGCAAATATTGAAAACAGTAGGTAGAATAAATTAGTTAAGTTCATAATTTTGTACAAAAACAGCCAACTTTCAGATGTCATGATAAATATTATGATGGTTCATATCTATGAATAAATAATGTTATTCAAACAATTTTTGTAAGAAAAAAAATTAAAACTGCTCATACACAAATATATTTAATTAATTAAAGTACTTTTGAAATTTATCATTAGTTGATCATAACGGCCAAATATGAATAATAATTACTAACTATAGTAGGTACTTGTATCAAATTCTATAAAAATTAACGCTAAGTTATTAATTTTAATTGAGTAAAAATCAATGTTAATAGTATCTTAAGAGAATGCCACACCTGCATGCATGTCTCAGTTTTACAAACGTACAGCATAGCAAAAATTGTTTCGCATGAAATAGAACCACCCAAGCTGTAGTCAAAGCTAAGCAATCATATTTTCATGCCATTAAAAGGAAAACATTTACCAAGCAAAATCGTTTGTTTATTTTTTCAATATCACCATAACAAAAAAAGTTATTCAAGTTTGAAATAATGAATTTTTAAACAATAAGAACTTTTCTTGTGTTTGTGATATTGAAAAAATGAAAAAGATGTTGCACAGTAAATGTTCTCTTGTTTATAGCGTGAAAATTTGGTTGCTTAGCTTGGATTACAGCTTGAGTGGTTCTATTTCATCCAAAACAGTTTTTGGTGTGATGTATGTTTGTAAGACGGAGGCAACACATGTGGGGGTGGCATTCTCTTAAAAGTTAGTTATTATTAGGGAACAGATTTATATGTAATAAAAATAAAAAAATATTTAAAATATGAAAGTATAATTTATAAAATATGTGCTAAAAACATCAAAAACATTTTTATTTTTGTATAAGTTCAATGCTTATATGGAAAAAATACATTATATTTAATTATAAAAATATCAGATATATATTATTATATAGAACAGGGATGGCAAATAGGATTTTTTCTACGTGCCAATTTATGACATAAATCAAAAAAAAAATTTCAGCCGTGCCTAAATTATTTTTATTAACACAGCAAAATACAAATACAAAATATAAATGAAAAATTAATGATTATAATGTAGAAAATTATGTAAAAATGGAAATAATGTGAAAAAGATATTAAATTATTATTGTTTGTTAGAAATCGTTTGCTTCATATTGGTTGAAAGGTTTTTTATATCTGGTTGATATGATGTTGATTGCAAGGCAATACATGCTGCCGAATCTTCCTCCGTTAATCTGTTCCTAGCCTTTGAATGTGTATGATTTAATACTGAAAAAAGACTTTTGCAAGCATATGTTGAAGAAAAAATTGTTAACAATGAAATTGCTAATTTTTTGACAGAAGAAAAATTTTCTGGAATATTATTTCATACTTCTAATATTATGTTGTCAACACCGCAATCTGTTTCTTTTTTATGTATTCGATGACGTTCCAATTCTTCGTTACGCTCTCGCACATTCACAAATTTATTTGTCCAAATTGGATTAGTTTGCAAATCGATTAACTGCATTTCTAAATTTTCTAATTCCATCCAATTAAGATAGTAATCATTAAAATCTTGCACATCGAATAAATCGGGATAATTAATAATTTTTATTAATTTTTTAATTTTTTTAAAATCATGAAATCTTTGTGAAAACTGTATTTTAATCAAACCAACAATATTTGAAAATTCATTGGTAAAATCCCAATTGGTTTGTTCAAAAATGTCCACTTCACCTAACATTTTTTTGACTTTTGGGAAGTATAGAAATTTTCCAGATTTGACATCTTTAATAAACATATTTATTTTAATTTCAAAACCTTTTATTAATCCATACATGACTTCAATTGTTTTCCCTCGGCCTTGTAACTTTTTATTCAAAGTGTTCAAATGTAATGTTAGATCTGTGAAAAACATCAATTTTGCTAGCCACTCTGTATTATAAAGTTCTTTAAATTCAGTCTTATTATCATGTAAAAATAGGCGAATTTCGTCCAAACAATTTACAAATCGTTCTAATGATATAGCCCGGCTTAGCCAGCGTACATTATTGCACAATAAAAGAGTATCATATTCACAGTTAACATCATTTAAAATTTTTTTAAATTGTCTTTTATGCATATCACGAGCAACTATAAAATTAATAATTTTATTAACTTGTTCTGACAATTCTTTTAAATCACTTGTGACGACTTTGGAACACAACATTTGCTGGTGTATGATGCAGTGAAATCCAATTATTGGATGTCAAACATGCTTTTCAAATAACTTAACAAAACCTATTAATGCTCCAGTCATATTGGGTGCTCCATCCGTCATAACAGAAATAATTTTTTTTAAATTTAAGTTAAGTTTTTTTAATTCATAGACAACAATATCACAAACATCTGTACCTCTTGTTCTTTCTGGTATATTAGCTAATTTTAAAAGTTCCTCACGCATTTCATTCTCATTTGAAAAACGTGCAAAAATTGCTAATCTAGCAGATGACTTTATATCTGTTGTTTCGTCCAAACAAATCGAGAAGAAATCACAACTATTAATATCAGACTGAAGTTGATCAGAAATATTGAATATTATAGAATATATTATATAAGACATATATTTTTCTACATACATAGAACACATGCATATAGAAAATATTATAGAATTACGTGTTGCATTCAGAATTACAATTTCTTTTAAATTATTGAATATTAAATGTTGCCTGTTAGGTCTCAAAATATTTTTAAAACGATCGCTCCACATCAACCGATGTGATTGGAACATATTTAAGGAGCAGAATATCTGAAGACAATAATTCCAAAATTGTTGAAGGGTGTCTGCCACTAATTATTTCATTGATTGCTTTAAAATCAATATATCTCAGATTGTTTTCTGTAACAGCATAAATTTTATTTTTTACATCTTCTATTTGTTCACTTACGAGTCTTAATTTTTCTCATCTCTGATTCGACAATTTGCATATCATCATTTAAGGACATATTTTTTATTGTACTTCAGTATACTGGTAACTGGTTCACTGCAACAAAACTTATGAATGATGAATTGATAAAATATTTTTAAAAGTATTTACAAATTAGTAAAATATTTAAAAATATGTAAAGTAAAATTATTGTCATTTTAATAAGAATAATTTAAATTGTGAACATTTCTTACCAGATCTTAAATATCTTGTTCTAATAAAAATATGCATTTATGTTTTAGTTTTTGATGATAGTCAATTTTATGAAAATGTTATATTAATATTGTTTATGCTTAGTTATATTTTATAATTCATGTGTATTTTTCTTAATTACACAAAATTAGACTACACCGTTTTTATGGTACTTCTATTCCGCAATACCACGGGGCGTTGCATTTTCTATATTCTTAATACCCTTTGGTGTGGTATACGATGTTCGAGTAACAAGACTTCTCATTCCAACATTGATGTTCGTATTGATTTATTCAATACTGCCACACAAGGAACTTCGGTTTATTATTTATGTATTTCCAGTTTTAAACGTATCTGCTGCTACCTATTGCAACAGAATGTATGCTCGAATGTTATTGTTATATAATTTTTCAGTCAGTAAGTTTAACTTATTTACCATTTACAGATGGCGAACTAGATTTAGACCAAAAGGATTCAAGAATCTATTTGCTCTTCTATTCTGTGTTGGTCATATTATTGGAAATTTGGCTTTTACAGTAATTCTATTGAGTGCTGCAATTAAAAATTATCCAGGTGGCCATGCAATGACACTATTGCATACATTTGAATATAATCATCTAAATGCTAATTATACAATACACATTGACAATCTTGCTGCACAAACTGGAGTAACTCGATTTACACAACTCAGTGATCATTGGACGTAAGTAATTCAATACAAAGTAATATTATCTTGATTTATTGAAACCGTAAGAACTCAATAACTTTATTACTACAAACATTTCAATCAATTTCTATTCCTTATTTCTTTTTAATTTCTTTAACTCTAAAGGTCTTGATTGATTTTATTCATTAATAATATCAAAAAATTTTAATTTATCATGTTCATTGAAATGTACGGCACAAGTATTTAAAAACTAAACAATAATGTAAAAAAATAGTTTTAAACTAATTTGTTTTAACTTTATAAATAGGTATAGTAAAACAGAAAATCTGAAACCAGGATGTGAAGAGCTTATGTCGTTCACACATTTAATTGTTGGATCAAGTAGCCGAGATAATGAAGAAATGTTGCATTATGTAAATACTCATGGTGTTATGTCTACTGTTCCAGGATTTTCACATATTTCGTTTAATTATAACACTTTTCCACCTCTCAAAATAAAAACTAAAACACAAATATTTTTGTTGAAAAAAAAAAACATTAAGTCTGGTGTTAAGCAAAACATAAAGAAAATTGTTGAAGAATTCAAAAATGAACAAGATTTTGCGAAAAAAATTGATTTAAACTTAGATTTGTTAGATAAAAGCACTAAAAAAAATAAAAATAAACAAAAATAAATTCAAATTAAGCTTTTGATATAATACAAGTACATTTTTAGTGAATTTTAGACAATTATACACCTGTACCATATGTATAAGTTAATTTAATAAAAAATATAAAAATAAATTTTATCTGTCCCACTAAAGCTGTATCAATTCAAATTGTTTTGTTTTCTTTAGATTTTGTTCTTTCCAACGTGAAAGTAGCATCATTTTTTCTATGGCTTAATTTTAATATAATATCAGAATTGACTGAAGTAAAATTACCTATAATATGTTTATACATTAATTGTATGAAGAGCATTTAATCCACTATTCTTCCTTAATTTTTTTGTCTAGCACTAGAATAATGTATATGTTGCAGTACGTTAAGTTTTTTCATTTGAATTGAGTTGTAAATTAAGATTGATTTTTTTTTGGTTCCAAGCTTCAGACTTAAATTGATGGTTTAAGTTATATATAATGACTAGGTAATTTATTTAAATTTGAAATACATACAGATTTTATTTAAAACATGAGATTAAATTAAATTTGGTTACATCAAATAAGACAAAATATCAATGATTACTAAACATATTCATCATTATTATTGTTAAATATTTCACGTAACTATTATATATAATATTATTGTATTTATTAATAAACGTTGTACATATTACAATTAAAAATTGTTCTACTATCAATTTTTAAAACTTGAATACTTTAAAGACTCCTGTTGTTTTTGTAATTTAAAATGATGATTTTATGTTAACACTTGCTTAAATTAATTGTGTTGTATTTATTATTTTAATCTATTAATTAATCATTGAGGCGTATATTTTATTTTTGTAATGAATTGATATTTAATTAAATATTTAAACTTGTCTGTTAATAAAATAAATAGCTTATTATAAGTTAAGTTAATATATACTTCTAATTAATGCTCTGTATTCAAAAGTAAAACTGATATCATCGTTTTGGTTTTGAACTTTTGTTCTTTTTGTTTAATTTAGTTTTATATTTGAATTTAAAATGTATAGTTGTTGCGACAATTAAATTTATTTCATTTGATTTACTCATGTATGATTGTTCAATTTATGGAATAAATGGACCCACTCATAATTGCATTGTCGTAAGAATGTAAAACTACTGAGTTCTTCTTGTGTGATATTTTTGAAACATTAACTTAAGCAACCATAGTCTGTACAACTATTTGCTGCTAGGGTTTACCATAATTTGGTTCTACTGCAGCCTTATTGTATTCCTTTCTGTCTTATTACATGATATATTGACTGGTCCATGTCTTATAAGCAATTTAATATAGGAGTTGTGTAACCACTAACTAGTATACGTACAACCATGGTTGAAATATTTAATTTCAATAGTTGGAGATAAACAGTGAGCAAGAAGACTTGTGCTTTATAGTTTACGATGTTTACCAGTAGGAAGCTGATTTTATCTGTAAGCATGATTAAAGATAAGATCTTATCTTAAGTAGTGTCTGTTATTAAACAGTGATCACTTATATATGTTACTTGTGTTTCAATATTTGCGATACACTATTACCTATAGCTTACAAACTAGGTAGTTGCACCTACTAAAATGCAAGGCTGAGCGTTTAAGTGTTATTTAAGTTATTTTTAACTAAGTTCCATAATTTTTTTTTTTAGAAATTACTCCAAACTTCAAGGATTAATTTTTTTTAAATTTAACGAAACAAATTAATTCTATTGTCATGTTAAATTATATTTTTTCTAAGACCTCAAATTTAAAATGTATTTAATTTCGTAAGAAAAAAAAAATTACCAGAAGTAAGTATAAAATATTATTAATAAATAAAATAATTTATATTAATGGCTATAATATTGCATATCCACAGAATATGTATACTATAAACAGAAAAGCGTCGAGGGTAACAGCATCATTAGGAAGATAAAAATATAACTATTTGCACAGTATACCATGTACCTATTTTGTATACTCATTAGTTATTAATGATTAATGATTATCTACATGACTAATTAGAAATTACTAATTGGATATTATACTTGTATTCATTCTTAGAATTACAACTGATAAACTGATAAATAAATTGAATAATATTTGATATTATAATATATATTTTTTTTTTTTGTTTAAACCGACAGCAGAGGAGGATCTGTTTGAACACTACTACTCCTCTGGTATTATATTAATTAATGTGTGAAGGTAGGTAATTAATTATATTCTAAAATCAATTAGGTATAACTTAGTATAGTTGTCGACCATTAGGTAAAAAAAAATAAAAATGTTGTGTTGGATTTCGTTATTGATGAAACCGTTTAGTCAAAATCGATAATCAAAATTTGTTTTTATAACTTATTATTTTTAATCTTGTAAATAAACCATGTGGGTCGAGACAGATTTTCGGGTATAAATTTGGGGGTCACGGTCCCAAAAAGATTGAGAACTACTGATCAAAGTGGTAAGTACTAAAGTATATTAGGTATAAGTACTTACAGAAATTAATTTTAGTAGGTATATACACTTATTAGTTATAAGTTATAACTGTAATATTTTCAATTAAATTACTAGGTAGATAGGTATGTTATTTGTTGGATTTTTAAAAAAGGTATAATTTTTAATTTTATTTGAAAAAAGTAACTAATTTTTAACTAAGTTAAGTTACTTTTATTTTCTAGTTAACTTGTAACTTTTAACTTTAATTGTAACTTTTCTGACTAAACTTTATGAGTTAAAAAAATTACTAACTTGCCTAGCCTTGCTAAAATATATCGCCGCATAGATTAGCCAAAAATACAGTTTAATTATAAATAGGTAATAATCCTAAAGATAAGAGTGAGTTGTAAGTTTTAAATGGTCTCAACGAACCATAACATGATATCGCCTTGATGATTTTTTATGAATAAACTGACAGGGAAGCAGGATGTCAGTAAAAATAATACTCTATACATATATCTACAGAGTATAGCCACATGACTATATTATGTATACAGCGGGGAAAAGAGTGAGGTAAAGCTTGTCGCGGAATAAATCTCCTTTAGAAAATAGTAGGTACCCACGTACCTATGTTTAATGAAATCACGAAATAAGATTTGAAATTGAGTGAAAAAAAATGGGCGTTGGTTGATGTGGGAATTTGACATCAAAACTCTTAGAACACCTTCACATTGTGTTCACCACCCCCCCCCCACAGAAAAATGATTCATCCATTTATCACATCGAAACAAGTATATATTCTATCCACGATATTGTTATGAGACACACGGCGAGAATATGAGAGTATGGTTAATGTTTTCGTTTCGTCTCATTTTTTGGTGCTGAACGCTGCGGCGTAGACGAAGTCACCATTGTGCGGCACCGGCTGCCGGGCAAAAAACTGACTGGGCTCGATGCGGTCGGGTGGACCGAACTTGTAGTTGGCTTTCTCCTCGGGGCTGGAGGCGCTTTCGGCATTTGTGTATTTTCCCTTGAAGATAAAATTGTAAACGGACCTCGGTACGATGGTGCTGAGCGGTCGCAGTCCCGCAGGCGGATCCTTGGTGAACGGCGGCACCAGTTTGCCGTTATTCAGCGACACGGTTAAAAATTTCAGGTATAGGTCACGTTCTTCACGCATATCGTCGGTGTCCTTCATAGTGTCCATCCTGTGAAAAACATGTGGCCCCCAGTCTCATCATGAATTGTACGTTAAACATTATATATTGATACCTATATAGGTACTTAATGGCGCACACATAGGTTGAGTAGGGAGGGGGAGGGGGGTCAAGCAATTCTCGTAGGGGAGATAAAATGCCCGGAAAAATAAAATAAACCTACCTTTGAATCCACGTGTACACTTTAACGCGTTCTTTGACCGACATAAGTTGCGCGAGCACAATCGCGTATTGCCGGTCACACACGTACGATTCGTCCGAGAAAACAGTCAGCGGTTCGACCTCCACAGGTTTCTTTTCTACTGCCTCCTCGACGGTCGGAGGTGATTCTTTGGGAGTCGTGTCTTCTGCAGGAGGAGCTTCAACGGTGGACACCGCTTGTTCTTCGTTTTCGGAGGACATTTGACCCGTAAACTTTTGATTACAGCAATTTTGATTTCTTGTATGGGCTCACTAATATTATTAAAAGACGACGATTAGTTAGGTTTTCGAACAGCACCGGTCGGGGTCACAAGATAAAAAACTTTCAAACGGTTGAAACTTGGCATCAACGAATTGTTTAGTAGGAGTGAATATGCATGCATGGTACGTATAGGTACGTTATGGTGTCATGGATACGCGTCTGAATTGTTTTCGTTTGTTGAGCCAATTATCTATTTTTAATTGTAGGTAATAGGTATTAGGTACAAACAGCTAGAAAGGGTGATATAATAACTGCGAAAGATACTATATCATTATATACTTGATCGTACAGAAGAAAATATATTTTAATAAGATTCTGCCGAGTAAAGAATATATCGGAAGAAAAATAATGAAATCACTTCAACATGCATTATAGCATTTTGTATACATTTAATATAACAAGTCGATGTAGACTACCATACCTAATACTAGGGTTACCATACGTCCGGATTTGCAAAATGTTCGGATTTTACAAAGATAATCGTTTAACATGGTTAAATTGATTCAAAATGTTATATCAGGTAACAGATTTTCGTGTTCACTCTGTATAAATGCACAATATGTAATTTCTATTTTTGTTCATGTTCATAAAATAAATAATATAATAAATATTTTCAATTCCCCCCCCCCCACCTTGAAACGGAACTGATGTCCGGATTTGGTTTAAAAACATTATGGTAACCCTACATAATACTAATTTATACTCGTATTATTCATTCATTGTTTTATGTGATCACAATTTGTTTTATTTCATGTGGATGATAAATTATGGTGTAATGTTTTTCTTTTATGTAAATCTTGAACAATGCTACCTAGGTACATCTTTTTACAATTATTTTTTTAAACTATTCAAAATTTGTATGTACCTATAACCTATTCGTTTTAATTGTAAACCCTGCATGTATTTGAAATTGAAATTAAATTAACCAGTATTCCTTCCCAAATGGAATTATAATTTTTTTTCTTCTAAAATTGTTGTATTTATCGAAACCATCACAACGTATTGTCGATAAGATAACTACCTACCTATATCATGTATTTATGTTATTATTAACTTAATAACATTGTCATAGGTACCTTTCAACTTATTATATTAGGTATACCTACCTACTATTTTTGGTTACCTATTACAATTATTTAACATATTTTATAAAAAAAAATGATGTGTTAATCAGGCATTAATTGTATCGTGGTTATTGCTTTACCGGTTATATCAATAAACATAAAGGTGAACAAAATAATGGTAATTTTAAGTATTATAATATTTTGTATATTTCAACAGGCAAAGTTTCGAAAATAGTTAATTATGTAGGTATAATTAGTGTGGTTAACCTAATTAATTACTTCTGTGTTTTTGGGTAGGATAGCCACTATTTAAGGATAAGAGTGATTGTGCATATCGTTTCATATTCTAGAAAATAATTAATAATGTACCTACCACTAAATTGACTTTATTGATAGTTATTCCAAATTATAAAGAATTCCAAAATAATTATTATTCTATTTGAAACAAACGTGTATAACAGAAAATATATGTATTAATTTATTATTCTTTGTGTATTCAGGTACCTAATGCACTTTAATGCAATGATAAATCCAGCATAATAACACATAAACTAATTTGTTGAATAAAAGCCAGAATAAGCCCTTTCGCCTACTTTGTCAGAAGTCGTAATTCTTAAACACATACACAATGATCATTTTCAAAAACGTTTACCATATTATATCTGACGACTTGAGTACTTACAATTAAAATTAAATAATATTACTCAACATCAATCATTCAAATTATTATTCAACATTGTGTTCAGTAAGTACTTATATCAACTTACAACATAATTATATTATAATTTATTAAATTATGTTACTGTCTAAATGAATATATTACAGCTATATAAAGTATTCATTATACTTATTATTATTATTTTTTACAGGCGAGACATGAATTTTATGAGGAAGGAGGCCATCCATTGAAAGTATCCAACGCAATATTATTTGAGTAAGTCTCTGCACCCATTGTCGTTTTAAACGCCGCATTGGGTTTCCATAGGAAGCGTTTTGCACGAGAGTGAGGACATTTTTGGGTTTGGGTGTGTAAATAATTTAGAATGAAATCTAGAGTAGTGATTAGAACTTAATTGTCTAACTGTTTTGATGTTTGGATTGTTATGCAGTGTCTTGTTGGATATTACCAGGCTGCAGAAGTGACAAGTCGAAGAGCTATTTGATTGGAATGCATCATACTTATTACTAAAGCTCTGAATTTGTAGCAAAGTGAATTTTTTATCGCTGATTGTGCAACGTCCGACCCGGGGAGTTGCTCAAATAGGGATTTTAAGATTTACGAAGGAAATATTTGTTTATATACGGTTGCTATATTGGTTGTCCGCAGTGGTTCATCGGGCAGATCAGGTATAAAATTGCACACAATTGAATTTTCGCACATTGCCTACCAAGGTGGTTGAGTTACACTTATGGCCACTCATCGGCGTGTCCGCAATCAAAATAAAACATATTACAGTAGAACCACTAGAACCTCATTAATTCGGATTAATTGGGGCTCTAGGTTGTTCGAAATAATGAAAGTCCAGATTAAGTAAAATAATCAAAAATTGTAAATTATAAATTCAAAAAACATTTTATTGGATAAAATGCATTATCAAGGGATTGATCTTATGGCAACTGCATTCTTTTAACAACACTTGTTTCTTTTTCTACATTAAATTTCAAAACAAATTTTCTTACATCATCTTTTTATACTTCGTTTTCGTGTTGATTTTAATCTACTGCAGCGTTTCCCAAATAGTGGGTCACGACAGTCAACATTTAATACCGGGTCGCAGAATTGAATGAAATTCTCATATTAAATTTGTTATTTATCATTTTCGTTTGATAATTTAAACTGTTAAGTACGAATAAGAAGTCAAATAGATGGGAGAGATGATTTAAATGTGTTTTATTTTGTTTTTATTACATAATGATAAATGTAAAATATTTTGGTGGGTCACGAAGGTGAAAAATATAAATTACCGGGCCAGCCCAAATAAGAGTTTGGGAAACGCTGATCTACGGCATGAACTAGCTTAATTTACGTATTATAAACGGCTATCCGGATTAAACGATGTCCGGACTAATGAGGTCCGGATTAATGAGGTTTTACTGTATTTATATAAAGTACTCATCAAGCGGGGTCCACAATCCACAGCAGGTAGGCATAATATATACTGCTCGAATTATCGCTATCGGGTCTCATATAGAGTTGGCATTCTTAACGGGAAACAAAGTGCACTGGACCAGCTAGTATAAATATAAAAATTAAATTAAAAACCACTTTAAATGAATTTTATACTATAATTTTTGGCATTTTAAATTGCATTTTGTTGACATTTTTAATGCATTTTTTAAGGTTCTTTAGTGCATTAAATTCACAGCCTTACTTATTACATAATAATATTAAAAAAAAACATTTATGATGGAAATTGTTAATCAATTGAAATATATACTGTGCACAATACTATAAATTATAAAAATCAAAAAAAGTTATTATTATTAAATTCATACGTGTGAAACTGTTAACTCTTTAACGTCTGAAGCACGGAGGACTTGTATTTAATAACATTTTTATAATTTTGCCAGGGTCTAAAGAAATTTGTTGCTTTATTAAATTATGCTTAAATTGTGAGTTTATTAGTTTACTCATTAATATTATTTAATACATAATCAATCGCATGAATAATTAAAATTGGTGTCACGCGGATGGACGTGCATCAGTTGTACGTATGAGTATCACGTAGTTAATTAATTAATTAATATCATTATCTGCAGCCTGCAGGTACATAATATTATATAATATATATTGTTTATTTGGTATACATAAAAAATAGCTGTGAAATCTAAAAGTAATCTGAATTAGTAATTATTATTCAGCATGCTCTTAAATGAATCCTATATGAATTGAGCACTTCGAGCAAATAAAAAAAAAATCACTTATTATCTAACGTATAAATTCAAACAGTACAATAATTACAACTAATATTATCCATCTTCGAGTCGAACACTTCACATCGATTTCAAGAAATCCATATTGTTATATTATAAAATGTACCATACATTATTATACTTTACCATATTTACATGACTAATTATTATTATATCAAGGTTATCAATTGTCATATTTAATAATGGTTCCCATTATATTGGAACTAAAAACAAGTATATAATACTTCAGTGAATGACATCCCGGGTGAAATATATACATATTAATGTAGGTAAGAGTTCACTCTGAGCAAAATTAATATTTAACTCAGTGTTTACATTTATAATTTATTCATTTTGAAAATTACGGTCATGCTATTATTCATTGTTTTTTTTTCATACCTACCTAGTTAAAATTACGAATTCAGTAGATAGGTACATTTCAAATCGATTTACAAAACATTACAAATACAACATAACATTGTATATATTTATAGTTGTTATAAGTAAGTACTCTAATTTTCTGTGCTAAGCTAAACATTTATTTTTATATTACGTTTGTGTAATCAATATATCTTATTTATTATTTAAAAAACGAGACATGGTCAAAAGTCAAATGCTAGAAAAAATATAAACTGCCATTTAAAAGACACATATTTTCAAAGGTAGGCGAGTGAATGAAAATAATTAACTCAAGTTAAGTTAAGAGAACACTAGATCGATAATTTAAAAGTTAACAGCTAACAAATCATTAATTTAACTCGATAAGTTAAAAGTATTAATACGGAAAAATAAATTAACTTAACTCAGTTTAAAAAAAGTTCATCTCCTTTATTTAATGAGGATGTAGATCAGATAAAGAGTAGCAAGATGATCTTGAGAAAGATCTATTTTCCTAAATTATTAAATTAATCTATTTTATTGAATTTTTTATCATAATGTCAGCAGTGGCGCCAAAGTGTTTGAAAAATACTATGACAATGTCATTACGACTTTGTACATCAGTGGGCCACTCACAATCGTATTTTTTTATCTTTATAGTTAAAATTCTTTATACATAACATTCTGTATATACATAGCTGATATATATGAATAGTTTTATTAAAAAAATGTCCTGGTTAATGCAAGTGCTCTATAATAATTCATAATATTGTCTACAAGTATAAACAGCATATCTTAATATTTGACGTATATATACAACTATGTATATGTATACGATAATTTTATTTTCAAGTTATTTTAGATTCTGAGTGGAACGATGAATGTATTGATTTTACAATGATCTGTGTTTTTTTATTTATTTTTTTATTTTTTTTATTTTTTTTTTATTTTTTTAAAATTTTAAAATTTAAATTTATTTATTTATTTATTTATTTATTTTTGTGTCTGTCATCACCTTTTAAGACAGTAAAACTGCTTCGATTTTCTTAAACAGCAACTTTTCTGATTGGAAATTGAATCTAGTTGGTACTTTGGGGGGTCAAAAGTAAAAATTTCCAGTAGTTTTCAAAACCGACGTGAAAAACAAAAAAAAAATTAAGGAAAAACGGGAATTTTTACGCAAAATCGATTTTTAACAAAATCGATTTTGGTTTTTGGTGTAAATCTAAAACAAATGGCCGTAGATATATGAAATTTACACAGGTTGTTTATATTTGCATTTGCTATACACGGTAAAATTTTGAAAATAATTTGACTCTTTTTGAACTGTTTACGGACATTGTCAGTTTTCAATTTTTTTAGTTTTTTTTCTATAAATATCAATAAAATTTTATTTGTAGGTTAAAAAAACTTGAAAATTTAATACAAGGCTCCTAGTATATTGTTTCAAAGGCAGATGAAAAAAATTAAAAATCCTTAGTCACAGTTTTTTTTTATAACCATTTAAAGTTCAAATATTGACAAAATACGTAAAGACGACGAAAATTTGGAAATTATTTTAAGTTAGAAATTCATAAAAAATTTTGTTCTTAAATCTAAGATTTTAAAATTTAATACAAGATTCCTCATAAGTTTGTCTACCTTTATCAAAAAAAAAAAAATTTTTAGAAGAAAGTCAAATTAAATTTTTATGAGCGTTTGAAATTCATATTTTTACAACATTTGATATTCACTCGATTTCTCATGTAACGATTTTCTGTTTTTGTTGTAATTAAAAAACGAATGGCTGTAGATACTTGAAAATTTCACTGAATGTTGATATTAGCATTTTCTAAACACGATAAAATTTTGAAAATAATTTGACTCTTTTTGAGATGTTTACGGACATTGTCAATTGTCAATTTTCTTAGTTTTTTTTTCTATAAATACTAATTAAATTTTATTTGTTGGGCGAAAAAGCTTGAAAATTTAATACAAGGCTCTTGATATATTTTTACAATAGCAATTGTAAAATATTTAAAATACATAGGCACAATTTTTTTTTATAAGCATTTAAAATTCGAATTTTGACTCAGATATATTGGTATTAATATGTCTTAAACTAAGACTGACATACCGTCTCCACTCAGAATCGTTTTTCTTATACAATGATATTGTATCATTGAATTCAAATTTAATTCCATCCGTTATACAGTGACCCACTTGTAACCTACTGTACAGCAGAGTGACATCCACTTACCCGCTTTTTTTTTTATCAGTGTTTTTCCAATTTCCAAAATCTGGTTGCTGTCTGTATTTTTTTTATCGATAATAATTGTCATTTATACTGGAAACATAACAATATAATAATACTGTGTATGTTTTGTGGCTTTATGCCTATCTAATCTACTAAAGTATATCCATATACAAAAGTTTGTGTCATGATAATATTGGATGATTTTTTTTTTATATTTACGTAAAAACGAAAAATCATCTTTAGATTAGAAAGATCATTTTTAAATCAACTGTGAAAAGCTAAGTTATTTTAATTGCTAATTTAACTAGTTAAGTTAAAAAGTTGATTCAAAAATAAAATTAGTTAAGTTAAAAAGTTGAAAAAAAAAACATTTTAACTAGTTATGCCCATCATTGCCCATATTTGAATATTTTAGGTAAACATGATACACATTTGTCTATAATAATGTAAATATATATATTAATGTCGAGGCTGGTGTTGTTTAGTCACCAATAATATAAGCAGTTTAAATTAATTTAAATAAATTGCTGCAGCTATATACGAAGGTCACAATTTATAACATTAGTGTCTAGTCGTCCAATAATGTTTTAGTGATGTACTGCGTCATCTGAGATGTTAAAGTCTCAAACGGTTATCAAAAGGTCTAAGGTCATACTCGTCACATAATATTTATCTTTTACAACACCTACCTATATTACATTGTTCTGTTATCATATTTCAGGCAAGTCACTGCGTTTAAATCGTGCTTCAAAACTAATGCAGATGGAAAACGGGCGATCTCCCAATGAAAAGTATCTGCACGATTTTACGTACCATGGAAAGGAATTTTCGTTCAGCGAAGCAAAAGAGGTCTTATCGCCGTATTTTGACGGCAGCGGATCTGTGGACCTAGAAAAGGACGATAATGGCATCGCCAAAATCTGCATAAACAATCCTCGGCTCAAGAACGCAATAAGTGGTAATAATATAATGTGTAATTATAAAATATTCTATACGTCAAGAGCAATGTCCACAATTGTGTATAAATACAGGTTACATTATGAGGTGTGATGAATTTTGAGCCTTATTTTAAGTGAAGCGCGCGGCATGTATACGACAACTACAGACTTATAATACTCATATCGATGAAGGATTGATGAGAGTGTAATTTTAACCTAATCAGATAATTGGGACGCAATTAGTGTAGTCAAATATAAAAACCTAAACATAGTTTGTATTTGTCAATTATTTGCAATTTTTATACCTGGGACACAATTTGGTTTCCCGGGTTACAACCCACACCGAACAAATGCACTTTACCAATCCATGCAAATTTTTCAATTTTTTTTTTTTGGAATTTACATATATCAACTACTTAAGTACAATGCTGCAATTAGAATTTGTAGGTTGGTCTTAGTTTCGAATTTATAGCTTTTGTTTTGGAAGTTAGCAATTTTGCGTTTTTTAAGCTTGAGCTCAACGTTTATCACGAGTTTGTCCCTCGAAGCCGGCAGGCTACCGGAATATTATCACTTATCAATTGGCGTACCTAATCATTGATAAAAAAATTTAGTTTACTTCGTGAGTACATCACTTATACAACGTACGTAGCAGACGAATTAATAATTGTTGATACTCGACAGTGCTACCCAAATACGATATACGGTATGACCACCTGGCTATTTATATCATATAAATAACATAATACTATTACTTTTCTCTCGCTTTAAGTTATACCTACACTATTATTATGAGTTTTTATTTAATTGAAACTTGAAAGTATTAAAAACTATTATTGAATTAACAATGTTACTAATTTACTATAATTATAAATAAAAAAGACAATTAAATGTTTATTTGCGTGTTACTCAAAAAAAATTTAGCCAATTCACATAGGACTAATTTATGAAAGTTTTTCAAAATTTAGATCATTAATTTTTAAAATATAATTTACAATTTTAACTATTTAAGTATAAGGAAGACCTAAAATTGAAAACAACAAACTTGGTATAACTGTATGACATACTTTTATAAACTCCGTTTCTCATCACTAATAATGTTTGGAATCACAATACTACTATGTGCAGATGTGTCAGAAAAATGAGCACTGTAGTTTATTTTTAATTCTCCTATTATTATTTATTAAATAATTAAATAAATAAATAAACTACATATTTTGTCATGAGCCACGACTACATGACGTATGCAGTATAATATGCTCTACTGTATATGATTAATATGCATTAAATTATCTGATTGTTTTTGTGTGTAACTTTTGACTTTTCTCTTTTGTTACAGTAAAAATGATGTCGGACCTAGACGAGATCACAGACAAATTGTACCAGTGGACCGAGTGCAAGGGAGCAATTGTGTATGGCACTGGTGGGAATTTCTGTTCCGGAGGAGATTTGAAAATGGCGAAAAAAATGAACAACGAGAAGAATGGATATGCAATGTCTGTTTATATGGGTCATATTCTCGATAAATTCAAAAAACTGCCCATTATTTCAGTCGCATATATCGATGGAACGGGTAATATTATCATATTATTACACTTACTTTTACGAAATCGCTTGAAAATAAAATTTTTTTCTTTTGAGGTATGGGATGATTGGTATAATAAGTACCTATACAGTTTTTCTTTTTCAAAAATCAACTTATTTCGTAAATTAATGATACTAATTTGTTATCTTCAACAACATTGTCGATTTTTGTTGTTTGAAGTTTTTTCGTTCAATTATAAGCCAACATTTTTTTTTTTTGTATTAAAGGTTAAAACGTTTTTGAAAAACCATTTTAGTTTAAAACAAAGACTTATAGGGATATTATTTAAATATCACATACTAAAATGTATGATTTAATATTAATTTTTTTGTCTACAGGTGCGCTTGGCGGAGGCGCGGAAGTGACTACGATGTGCGACTATAGGCTGATGTGCAACGTTACCGATACCACAGGCATAGGGTTCGTTCACTCGAAAATGGGCATAGTGCCAGCATGGGGCGCCACCGGCCGGTTGGTTTCCATCACAGGGAGCGCCAAGAAGACACTGGATCTGTTGCTGGAGGGCCGGACGCTGAACGCCGTCGAGGCGATGGACCTGGGACTGGTGGATGGCACCGTGGCCTCTTTAGAGGACGCTGGAACGTGGCTGTCCAACAAGGTCAGGCAGGACGTAAACGTGATCCGGGCTATCAAGCGCACCGTGCTGAGCTACGATGATGACGACGATTCGAAGGCGAAAGCGCGAGAGCTGGAGCGCAAGATTTTCGCGCCACTTTGGGGTGGCATCGCCAACCAGGCGGCACTCAAACTGAAACTAAAGCACAATAGATGAAACCAGTGCGAGGAGAACTTGACATCAGAAGATAGTCTAATATTCCACCCACTCAAAACCAGATTGAAGCATTTTCTGTCATATTTTTAACTATACCTGCCTGCAGTTGTATAGTAAATACCAAAATGCGAATTAATACTAAATTTATACTCTGTTGTCATTAGTACTTAAAATAACGATTTATTTTTTCATTAAATAATTTTAGTTTTTTTGTATTATTTCAATAAATATAGAAAGTATAAGATATTGACACATTCTACTGTTTTTTTAAATTATTATTTTCTATGCACAATTCAATTTTTAAAATAATTAGACAATTTTTAAACTATTTACAGGCATTTAAAATTATAAAACTTTTGTTATTGTTAACAAACATTTTTAGGCTCAATAAAAAACTATAAAAATTGAATAAAAAATCCCAAATCATCCTTTTATAATTTTAAGATTATTAAAAATACAAGGATACGATTTTTTTCGTATAATGGTTTAAAGATAAAATTTTAAAAATTGTTTAACATTCTCAAATCATTATGTAGTTAAAATTGATAAGATTTTAAATTGTTGTTGCTAAGGCTTGAAAACGTACTAGGTTACTCTTAAGTAGTTATTATTACCTTAGAAAAATACAGATAACATATGATTACATACTATCATATTTTTGCTTATAAACACGAATCTAAGATTTTGATGATATTGGATATTTAAACGGAGTATTTTCAAAATAAAATAACTCATTTTAAGCTGATTTCACGTCGTTCGTAAATCTATAATATTATAGTTTAGTATTTTATTATTTAATATTTTAATTTATTTTTTAATTTTAATTTAATTGATTTTCGAATTAAATCAGCGGGATCAGTGGCCATTGGGAGAAATATATAAGGTACAAATTATAGTACAATTAACTTGAATAATAGCAGGAAATACACTATACGTGAGTAAAGTAATATCAATTTACTTTTTAAAGTTATCATAATTAATAATAATAATAATATGTGTTATAAAATAATAATTTATAATATAATCGGTTTTTGAATGACCTTGGGTGTTGTGTTAATTTGTGTGATCAATGAAATTAATTTAATATCAAATACCCAAGGCTGACAGACCATCTCTGATCATAATAATTTTTAATACAAAAATATGATGTATTGAATTTAAATTGAACACATCCTACTGACTAGTCTCGCCACCTGCAATAATTGTACAGCAGATTGATACCCACTTGTCACCATTTTTATTTTCATTTTTTACCCATTCCTGTATACTGTGAATGTTAAAGTTGTAACAATCGTTGTCTTTATAACCTATAAGATAAATAAATCACATAATGAAAAAAATACAAGGATATGTGAAAGTCCATCATTTTTTGTATTTTAAAGCACAGTTAAATGGCCACAAAATATACAATTAGTATCTCTTAAAGGTAACTTATATAAACCTGAACACAAAAACTTAAATGTTAATATACGCGTTATAATTGGAAAATAAAATGATATTATTCCCTTAAATTTTAATAATGCAGTAAACTTAAAATAGGTAATAATATTATTTATAATTATAACCAACATACAGATAAATAATATTTAATACAGTATCGAAAAGTAAATGTTATACGTTTAAGTGAACATATTATATACTTTATTATAATAAATCGATAATCCAACTATCTAAAGTACATAAAGTAAGATTTAACTACTCTTCCCAATAACGAGTAACTATTATTAGGAACTGATTAAATATATATATAACTGATTATTAGTTACTGGTTAAACAAAAAAAAAAAATATTTAAAAATGAATGTGTTTAAGTTGAAATATGGTCTATAAAATCTATAATATATATGATGTAGGTAATATAATAATATAATAAAACATTACGTGGAATGACTGTGCATAATTTTTGAAAATTATTTGATTACCTACGACAAAACCTTTAGGGGCATTTGTCGTTTGGAACGAATAAAATTCCGGTTTGTGATAATTATAATTATGATAATAATAATAATAATAATAATAATAGTAATAGTATAATAATGATGATAGTTATAATAATAATAATAATAATAATAATAAGATGATGATGATAATAATAATACAATTATTATGTGACAAGAACAAATAATAATATATTAGGCATAAAGTGTAGCGATATTATCCAAATTTGTATTATTCTGTTTTTTTAATCTTATAATGTATAATAATATTTAAAATTTTGTATTTATGACTAAAATGCAACGTGATCAGCCGTTGAGCTCCACTCAGAATAAGTTCAAACTCTGGAGTTTGTTGACTAGATCTCTTCTGAACCGTCTGATTGTATTGCTGATGTACGGGAAGTTGGACTGATAATCGTTGGTCGGCAACTGACCAGCCCGCGTGCACGACTCGCAGCAGAATTTCTTGTAGTACGGATGATTACAGTAGGATCCTTTCACGATCAGAGAACAATTGGCGAAGAATCGGCTGTCCGTGCAGTTTGGATTAATGTACAAGCCTGCATATGAGCACAAAGAAAAACGAAGGTTTAAAAAAAAAGCACTGTTCTTTCTAATTGTTTGGTGCATAATAATATTATGTTGTTCTAAAGCCTCATTCCCCTCGATGTCATATGATTTCGTGATAAAAATAAAACAACAAATTGATTATCATTTCTTATATATAATACATGTGGTTAATAAATTATGTAAATACTTTATAATTTTCCCTAAATATAATAAAAACGTTAATTCAATTAAAAACTACAATAACTATGCCGTCGAAACACAATTAAGCAACAAATATCGACCACACAATTACTGTCTCTAATGATAATATTAATATAACTATCATTACCTATGTGTCAATTGTTATTCATTTTTCAGTGAAGTTCAAAACTAACTGTGTAAACTGAGTGTAAAAATGACTTTTTTTCTTGTATATCGTGATAAATTCATAATTCGAGAAAAAAATATTTACCTATGTACATCTCATTACATCACTCCATTTATTACAATTAACAGAGCTAATTACACTAACCTACCTAATCTTACAGAGATCTCCTATTAAGCATTTTTTTTTAAACCTTGCAAATATATATTATTATGTTTCTTCTTATTATTAAATGACGATGTGTGCTATGCTGCTTGCAGCCATATATTATTATACTGTACGTACCTTCTATTGTAATGTTTATGGTTTTCTCGTCGGAGCTGTACGAGTTGTACGCTTCACATTTATAAGAACCCGAATCCGAAGCATTTGTACGGACGACGACCAACTTGTTTTCTAAGAGAAGAAAAAAAAATCATGTTCAAGCGTAATATTATGAACCTACCTACAACCATATAGGTAGGCATACTCATTATGCCGATTTGCATAATTTAAAACAATCGTCATGGCGCCGTTTGTGGTAGGTACGCACGCTTACCGGTCGCTTGAGTCCGTTCATTGTTCCGAAGTACTTGCCCGTCTTTGTACCAGGTCACAGTGGGTATCGGATAACCGTCCACCGAACAAGGAATCGTCAGGTCCGAACCGACGGCGATCATTGTGGTAGGCATGGATATATTAACTCGTACGGGGACTGGGCCAGAAAAATATTCAATTAAAATCATTGCGACACGGTATCAGTTTTAAGCCAATAAAAAAAAATAATAATAAAAACTGAAATATTCGTACTAACATTATTTTTGATTTTTTTAAAATGTTTAGTACACTTAATTTACTGATTGTCAGTATCGAGATCGATATTTAAAAGGTTATCAATTGTATGATGTCCCATACTACTCTGCATAATAATGAATACGCATACCAAGTGTAATAAAACAAATTATAACTATTATATTAAAATACTGCAGAGTGCAGAAATCCCGTAAAATATAGTGTATAATAACAAAACAAATTATTAACATTCCCGAAACTAACAATTCATTAGTTATGATAAATAATATTGAGTGGTATTATGTGCACAATATGTAATAATTTCCACAACCAAAAGCAAAGAAAATTAATTGTGTTAGGTGTAGTGTGTTTCTACACCCATCGAATACATAATTTTATAACATTAATTTCAACTAGGTATCTATAATACCCAAATGTATTACTCATTTGGTAGGTACACAAAGTATCGATCTGTTAGACTAATACTACAATAGAAAATTAATATTAGTTATCTAAAAGCAACATTTTAGTATTTTTAAATCAATCATATTAGATAACACCATTACACCAATAAATAACACAGTGTTATTAGTAACAGGAAACCAAATGCAATAGTAGTGATTTCATATTACTTATGTAAGTATATCTAATACTGTAGTAGGTACAGAATTATACAGAGGACGTTTTTCGTGTATTTCGTTTTATTTTTATATGGTGCCAAAACTCCATTGAATAAAACCTTGATACAAATTTACCGTTTTACCTATGTGATGACCATCTGTACCAAAAATGATAGAGGTATTTACCACAACATTGATCTGGTTCAAAAACAAATATATAACTATATCTGGGCACCGATGATTCTATAAAGTGTGTTTCACTTAAATAGTAAGTAAGTAACACAAAATATTTCAGCCAGATGATCATCGATTATAAAATGAGGATTTTTGAGAAAGACAGAATCGCATTTTCACTCTTTCGACAAGCCCATACGCAATATTACATGTTTTTATGGCAACACAAATTATTTAACAAATTCAAATTAGGATATACTTTTTTCCTATCTCAACAATTAACTGATTTAAAGCAGCTTAAAGTTTTCTTTAAAAGGTAGGAATATTTTATATTAATATATAGAGAAATTTGAAATTTGTTTTATGTAAAAAAAATTATTACTAAAAATAATAAAATATTAAAAAATAAAAGAGTCAGGTGATAAGAGCGCGTGACATTAAATAATATCTATCAACTGACAATTTAATGACGTATTTTAAAATAATTTTTTTTTAAAAACTGTTTTCGTCTGTATTTTAAATATTTCTGTAAGTCAGTCAATTTGTGTAGTAGAAGAAAGTTTATTCATCAAAGTTATATAGTTGCTTGAAAAAAATAGGAATTTTTTAATTTGGTAATAGTAATAAAAAGTGATATTAGTTATTAACACATATAGTCTTATTGCGCATTATGGCACAGAATATGTATTTTAGTATAGCCTTTCTTTCACAAAACTTCCCATTTTAATCTAAATTTTTAAGTCATCCGGCTGAAATCCAGTGTTATCTACTATTAAGTGAAAACCGTGGTGCACTGTATATATACAGATCGCTTGGTTT